GAAATAAAGTCCATAGCAGGACCCTTTTCTTACAAAGATACATGTCAAATAAATAAATCAATATATATTTCTTTTTGACATTAAATACATTAATTTATAAAAGTCACAATGATTTCTGATAAATCAAATTCCTTTATCTGTATTTACTGACAATTATTAATGTGAATCAAGAGTTTAATATTTTTATTTGAACTCATTTCACACTCTTTCCTACCAATTTGACAGCCAAAACTGCCATATAGGATGTTATTTCTGAAAGATTTTTTTTTTCTTACTTGCTAGATTTTAATTAGATCCCTTTGAAAACAAAATCAGTACAGAACACCACAGCTCATGAAAGACACATCATTTTCAATTTTAATTTTTGTTAAACCAGGAAAATCTAAAAGCATAAAAAAAAATCACATGACTTCAACTAACCAACACCAAATAAGAACAAAAAAAACTCAGAAATTGCAAGGTATAGCTTTGTTATCATCATAGTGGTGAAATTACCACTTGAATTCAATTTGAAATTTTTTTTTATATTTCAATATGAACAAATTACAAAAAGCTGTAAAAATATCTTACTGATGTGTGTCTTTTAGGCAATTTGTAATAATAAGCAATAATATGTAAGCATTACACAATTCAATACATTTTATATATCTATTTTATGAAAATACTATATCTTTAAAACCAAATGAAGTTTTTATAGATATGATTTAAATATTGGACCAATTAGTCAATCAAGTGTCTCAAATATCAAATAAACAATGTATTTTCACTAATGGAATAGTTCATAACTTCATTCATTACAAAACCAATCTCCATCTATCACTCACTTGAAAGAAATTTCGGTGGTTTTAACTTTTTCTCCATATATGCTCACCAAATCTGGCATATAGAGAACACAAATAAGTCTTCATGTGATTAAAATTTAAGAAAAATATTTGAGTATCAAATGAAGGATCAATAATGCAACGGACATCAATACACCAATAAATAGATTGTTACCCTTATGATAAACTTACTGTCATACAGCAGGATATTCTGTCTGAATAGAAAACCCTTATATTCCATAACATTTGTACTTGGCTACACACAAAACAATTTTTCAAAGACAAAAAAATTTCCTCATAAATTACCTGTCAACTAGAGGGAAATGCAAATGAGAACAAAATTTAGAAATAATGACCTGTAGTCAAGGATTAAGTCAGTGGATGAACTAAGAGCAAAGCAATCTGTTAATTTAAAGCTAGTACTGCAGGAGTAATTGTCTTAGTAAGAAATTCTATAACTATATACATATTTTTTTTTTGGAAGATGGGACTATTGCAGCAAAACTGCACATCGTAATAGAAACTATTTGAAATGAAAGTATCTTGACTTACAGGGGGACAGAATTTGGAAATAATCTTATAAAAAAAGGAAAATGCAATCAACAGAGAGATTTTAACTGAAATCATCCTGTTAATCATGCCAAAAAGCATTCAAAAGGAAGCAAAATCAAACTTTCTGAAAAAAGCAAAATGTAAGAAGATGCATGAAATGATACATTTTCATTAACAAACTTTTTCTTTCATCTGACCTTGAAAAATGTATAACACATTTAATTGGTGATAATACTATATTCATGAAATATGAAAAACATGTACTGTGAAAGTACATCTGTGAGGTAATCTCTTTTCATGAGGTTTCATACTAAAATGATCAGGCTAAATCATGAATTATGGTTTCTGCATAATTCAATGTTTTATGTTCTATTATATTTATTATATTTAATTGTGCAGGGAAAAAAGCATTGACAGTATCCACAAAAGGTCAGAAAGTAGGTCACTGCAACCCTTACAAAAACAAACTTCACATCAAATGTCATGTCTGTCTGAATTTTCAAAACAAAATCTCAAACCAACATAAGAAATGACTAGCATGGAGTTCTTATTCAGCCATAGATGATGAATGAGCTTTTACACTATTAAATCTTACGTCTGATATCATTGGAATGTGATGATGACAGGATAATGCCTTATCATCAGACTGTATTAAACAAATATTACAGGTCACTTATATATAAAACTACCTGTGGACAGATGTCACAAACATAGAAACATGATAACTTACTGAGTAATGAGATCATCTTTACATAACTAAACATTCCTTCTACTTAATTATGAGCACTGATTTAACTAGCACATTCTCAAATGTACATACACTCTAACAAAACTGACACATGCTTAACATGATGTGATGGTAGTACAGATCTGACTTGACAATCACGGAGACAAACATGACTTAAAATGACAGAGACACATGATTTTCATATGAAAGAGACGCATATATGACTTACAAATTACAGAGACACATACACGTTTTCATATTACAGATATACATGCATGACTTACATTTTACGGATATACAAACATGACTTACATATCATGGAGTCACATACACTTACATATCATGGACACATGCTCATAAAAAATACTTACATATCATAGAGACACATTCATAAACAAGAGAATTGACAGAACCGATGGATGCTCCCCGCATAAATGTAAATTCCAAAAGGGCTAATTTTGACAAAGTTTAAGTATGAAAAATAACATAGGGTAAAAAAAATCCAAAATTAAGCAAAAGAAAGTTATGGTTCTTGTACACTGCACTTCTATTTATTGAGATCTATCGACCTATGGAGTTTCATGTTGATGCCTCTTACAGCTTTTGTGATATGCTCCGGATTAAATTATGACAAGACAGACAGACGTATGGACGGACGGACAAAGCGGCGACTATATGCTCTCCCTTCAAGGAGCATGAAAAATGGCTTACATACCACCAAGACAGATTTATGACTTACATATCATGGAGACACATTTATGATATACATATTGCAGAGACACACATTTTACAAAGTATGAAGACACATATATGACTTACATATTGCGGAGAAACAACATACAATAAGACACATTTGACAAATGATCCTGTTTATTACAGGTGCCCTATCAATTTCTATGATTATTTTTCAGGCTAATGCAATTCATTTTGGTACAGTGCGTTTCCTATAATCATAAGTTTTAACTCCTGGATAATAATAATAAAATCCAAATTTCTGCTGCAAATTTGTTGATAATCAACCAGTGAGGTATAAATCTACTGAATGAAATTTCAAATTTCTTCCTCTTTAAACATCAAAATTCATTTTTAATGTTTCTTTTTTATACAATATTGCATCAGAAGACAATTTGAATGACTATGACTTACTTTACTACACATTTATCAAGCTCAGGATGCTTAAAAAATAGTCAAAATGTATTTGAATAGGTATATTCCTAAACACAGCACCAACAGAATGTTCCATGTGGTTTACAAGGTGTTCAATTTTACATCTGACCTTCAAATACAAATGGTTTTTATGTATCAGTTATCCTCACCAACCCCTCCCCGACCCATGAAATTTCATAAACTAAGAAGGGACTATATAGACACTATTATCATTTATGTTAAGTTACAGAAATAGTGCATTTATTAACCATTCATCAATTTGAATCATATTTTCCTTGTTCTCTAACAAAATATTTCTCAGAAGAAATCTCATTTTTCTTTCGGTTTATGAATTTGACCTCAATAGTGGATGATAATTATCAGAGCTCCACAACATTTACCTGTAACTCTTTGTTTTAATTCATAATGTTTGGATCTACTAGTACTTCAGACTTATATTCCCCATATGAATGGAAGATCCATTAGGCAGTGCAGTCAGAATTTATCTCTAGAATAAGTTTTCCATCAAATAGCAATGCCATGTTATAACATTAAAAATCTTCTCTTGATTTTTGAAATATCAAAAGATATTTTTTGTTAAAGAAGCACTTAAGAAGCTTAAAAGCCAGGTTATGTAATAACAGACACAGCTGATAAGCACCATTTAGATAATTCATTATTGTTTTAACTATTTCACAATGCATTGACACTAAATGTCACATCAAATACTATATTAACAACTACATACACTTTCTTCTGTTGTTTTCTTTTCATTTTTTTCCAGTACTTGTTCTCAAGATGAAAATAAATTCTATATGTGTTGCTACATAAGGTGCCATTTTGTTCATTTTTTTCCAGCAATTGTGTTAAGATGGTGCAAGTATATATATAAAAGATTTACATAATTGACACTACTTCACATCTAGTCTAGTGATACTTTGGCAACAAAGCTTTTTATCAATAAAAACTTTAAAATCTTTTTTTCATCATACCACTTAGCTTTACATGAAACACATGTATATAATTTCTTGTTTTCATGGCAAAATCTGGCAAATTTAATAGATCTTCTAATTTCATGAAATCTGGTTTTTGTTTTGCCTTCATAATCTCTCAAATGTGAATAACAAAGAGAACAGTATTTTCTAGGCATGATAACGTAACAAAACTATCTAAGGTGCAACACAAAATGCCATTTAGAGGTTTCAGATGATTACAATGAATTGTATAGTCCAGAAGGGAGATAACTCTTAATAAAAAAACAAGTTCCCACCCCTCATCCTTACAATCTAACATCACTGCATTAATTTTGACTCTTTTACTAATCAATAGAAATTCTGAATCTTAGCTCAGTGAATAATCATGACCATTTACAAACAAATCAACATCAGTGTCAAGAAGCAAGATGTTTTTGAAAAAGAAAAGGTGATAACAATTTTTCATATTGAATAACAATCCTAATAAACCTGAAAAACTTAAACAGCAGACATAACAAGGATAAGTCAACACATGTCAGTGTTGTCAGTATGTCATCACACAATTACCAACAGATTCTTATATTGATTTTCAGCAAAATATATCTTAAATAAAAATCTCATATTTGTTGCCGCCTTTGAAACCCAGCATCAGTATCTTACACACTTTTATGAACTGGTGCTGTGTCATGCAAACATATACTATAATCACCTAACTTCTATACACATACACTACCATTCATTTTATACAATTTCATTTACACACTAAAGTCTTTTTCATGCATATCCACTATATTAGAACGTTCTTCACACTTATTCAGTTCCTGCAACTCCAAAGACTAAATATCACACATGCTATACAAGCGTTGTTTTTTCTCCATCCCATTCATCATCAGTATCAGTGTCTGACAGATTTTCATCTTGCTCATTCTCACTGAGTGTATCTGCAAGTACTTCACTACTGTCTGTGTCACTTTCTGCGCTTCTATGGCTAAGTGAATGATGAGTACGGCTGTTAAGGGGGGTGTCCTTTAGTGTAAGTTCCGACACTGAGCGATTCGCTTGATCCATGGTGGACGTCGGTAAAGAATGTGTACTGTCTTTTAGCGACGTGGAAAAACCATCAAATGTAGGCGACCGTACGTAAGTTCTGCCAGGCTGAACATGAGATGGAACTGTCAGGCTGTTACTCAAACTATTGCCATTCCTTGGGAATTCAGGGTCTGGTGTTTTGAAGTGCAACTTTGCCTTAATGAAGAAACAAATAATCAAATCAGTATAGCATGTAAACCATCTTTGTAATATGCCCAAACAAAACTGTAGTGATCGTTTATTTCATAATGCAATGCAGGTGAAAGTTGATTACTCATTAACACAAATATCATCGTTTTATATACTGATATGTATCACACTTCACCTGTTCCAATAATGTACATTTTGTGAAATGAACGCATTGAGTATTAAACCATCTGAAGGCCATTCCACTAGGGCAAAACTTGTTAGCTATTGGGTCAGTGCTCAACTCTGTGACATTTCAGGATGTTGCTCCACACAAACAGGTACAACTCTTTTGGATTGATTGCAATTTAATGTGATTTAATCAGTCAAAGGTAACAAGTAACACATCTAGTGCTGAATTATGGAGATTAAATTTCAAAATTTAAAGTGAAGCAAAGGTAACCAACAAACAACACCTCAAACATAAAGTTGAACCCACTTAATTTGAACTCAGTCTGGTACAAAGTATCAACATCCTTCTATAAAATTGATAAGTGAATAGTAAACCATTAAGGTTTATTAAGGTTTTGACCAACAAGAAGTTATGTCCAAACATGCCTAAAATGAATTTGAAAAACTCCTCCTCCCCCAAACAAAATTCTAGTTTCACTCTGTAATAGTTTCACTAAAAAACTTCTTTGTGGAGTATCAGTGAATGATGAGCAATCAAAATGCACTTTCTTTATCTGTATTTACAGATCTGATAAGGAAGTGCTATGTTGATATCATTACAGCTGACCTATATTTTTGTGATCATCACAAACTTTGACTCTCCTAATGTGACTTTCATCCAGTCTGCAGAGGATATGATCATTGGGTAGGAAAAGCATGTAGCATTGCTATATAAGTATATACTAATAAACATATGTAATGCAGAAAACAATGTCATTTTTCAAGTTTGGGTTAGACAAAATTATAATTAACGTGGAGTAAAGTATCACAACAGAAACAAATGAATCAGCATTAACAAAGATCATTCAATAAAAAAGTTTATCTAGTCTGAATACCAAGTTTGCAGGTAGTTTTGTGTTTGTGAGAAGTTCTATATGTTTGCAGGCAGTTTTACGTGTAACAAAATTGTTCATGAAGTGTATATATAACTAGACAGAGATGACTGAGGATATTAATCATACATGTATTTGAGAATGTAATATACTGATGTTCCATATGATTAATTACATGTACGTGTTACCCTAGTGAATTCCTCATAGAACATAAAGTAAATACAAACCAATCTAACTTCTATTTCAGTTGGACTGCAGTTAATACAGTAGAAGTTCCTATAACCAGTAGAAGATTAAAGTGTGACGTTTCTATGACTACCCAGTCACCTTCATCAGACAAATGACCAGTGTGGAGTGTACTAGCACTGACGTATGTAGTGAACGGAGTGGTAAAAAAAATTCACTTACCTGAAAGTTTGGACTGAATAATCTGTGTGATTTGTCTTTATTGGCTTTGTCCAAGTCTTCCTTCATTAAGGTCATGTTTAGACGCTTGGAGTGGTCAGATGGAGTCATCTCTCCAGCACAATAGGTTTTAGTTCCATTGGGATGGTCACTACATGACCCATCCACATTGACAAAGAAGGTATTGAACCAGAATTGAAACATCTTTTCCTGTGTAAATATACAGAAAGTATTACTGTAGCATTAATACAAACAATCCACAGCTATATGCCGCATTACTTAATATTCTACATTTGTCAAGTATGATCATGAACATCATTTGGAGTATACATTCTACTGCCAAATTGTTAAAATTATCACTCAATTGCTACCGATTCATAATTTTCCATCTTTAAGCTAAATTCACCATCAACAAGAATTCTTTGCTTTGACTCTATCAGTGTTTAAATACACAAAATCGAACTCAGCCAAAAGAAGGAAAATTAACAACTAAGTCATACTTCAGCTCCTTCCTTATAGCAAGTTTTAACACAACTACCATCAATGGTACTAAAGTTCACCTCAAATTGTTTATTACTAAACCTCAAAGTAGCATTAGGGGGTGGTTTTACCAACTGGAATCTATATCCCAATATACTGATATTTGAACAGGAAGTGATGTCTTTCAACATTGGTACCAAAAAGTCAATTAGATTTGACACAAAAATGTCAAATTCCAAAATGGTTTTAAAATCAAACAGACTTTTTCCTCAAAAATAATTCATAAAGACTCATAAATCATACCCACAAAAACCCTCAAACCAAATATCAGTACACTTATAAAGGAGTTTACTGATGCCTTTAAACACTTGCACCAAAACACCAAACATTAGATTTGACATAAAAAATCAATGTCCCAAATAAGAGGCAATATTAAATATAAAGGTTATAGGGTAAAAGCTTTGATGTGTCACGAAAAAAAAGAGATTGTGACATTAATGATAGTTTAGTGGAATGTGCTCTCTTTGCAGTATACCCAAGTAGTGTGCTGAAGTTTCGTTTGGGTAACTTGTCTTCTAAATATGCCCTACAGTGGGTCAGCCACTGCTTGACACTAGCGTGAGATCCCTTATTTGTAAGGTCTACAGTTCAGCACATCAGTGAGCCTACAGGTCTTAAAGCTTCCCTCACTGCCATACTTGTAGACTTAAGTGATATGATTCAAGCCAGTGTCAATATACACATATATGACCAAGGGGTCATGAAATTCACAATTTTGATAAAAACACCTGGAGACCCTTTCATCCATGAAGAGCATTTGATTCTACCTAGATTTGGGACAATTTGACCCATCCATCAGCTTCTGGGGGTAAGCTAGGATTAATATGTGCATACCATCAAGCCAGCATTCTTCGCTAATAATGCTTACCAAGTTTGAAATATTTCCAAAGGAAATTAAACAAATCATGCTAAAAAATCCACTTTTCCTATCTAAACTGTAGCAAACTTATTCCCTCCCAAGAGGGAAATCCGAGATCATGAGGTCATGAAATTTGAAATTCTAGTCAATTTGACCACTTGTTGCCTGCCCCTCAGGCCCCCGGGGTGCATATAATTTACCATTTTGTTCATCTTAGGCAAGGGACTGTTTCTGTAAAATTTCATTTAAATTGGTTTTAGGATTTTTGAGAAAATGTTAAAAGTTTACAGACACCACTAAAAAGGTGATCACAAAAATTCACCAAGAGACCTTCCCTTCAAGAAGCAAACTAAAAATGATTCATGCCTTTTCGATTTCTCTGAAACAAACACAAATTCATCATTTATGTCTGCATCTCCTTACTTCCAGCAGACACGCCACGTATAATTTTGAAATTTCATATAATTTTGCTAATCTGAAATTTGATATCTGCACTTGAACTTGTTTGAGTACTTCTGTATACAGGTGGATACAACACTTCTAATGTAGTATGTAAGACAAATGATTTCCTGCAAGCTTACCTTTCCTTTCAGGCGAGGTTTGTTGTAGAATACAACTTTGATGTCCCCACAGAGGGGCACAGATGACTCCACTCCCATGAACTCCCTGTCCTGACCCTTCTTTAAGTCTTCATACACCTTTGAACTGTACACCTTTACTTTATTCTGGTACACCTCAAACACGGGACCTGTATGCAACATTATTTCATTATCATAAACAATCAGTATCATAACAGACATAATAACATTATGGCTGACCTATGAGAACACATTATTGTTGTAAATCAAATGGACTCAACTAGGGACCATCGGAAACCTACATATGAAATTTGAGAAAGATCCATCCAGTACTTCTCAAGAAATAGCCATAACAAAAATAAATTACGGATGGACAGACGAACCACAGACGTAGGGAGATCTGAATAAAAAACAAAAATAAATAAGGTGCCCTTTCATACCATTCTCTTTTGATATGAATAAGCTTGATAAATTAAGAGGGATTTTAAATCTGTAATGACAGTATTACTGTATATAAAATAAAAGAATAATTTAATACTAAAAATGACAAGATGGAATGCAATAACCCTTTTTCAATACACGATTCCTACAAGAATATTCCTTACACACCAGATAACGTAACAGCTCAATATTTCACTACTCCATTTCTTTAAGAATTATGCAACTTGTTTCATAAATTTGTTTTACCAAATAAATAGACATCAATACAGGTGTCCCTCTCATAATGGAAATAAATGTATTTTACACTTTCCTATTTGCAAAAGTGATATTTTAGAACACTACTTTTAGCAATAATAATCATCAGTTACATAAATGACCAATATCAGACTCTCATCAATGAAAACTTACTACAGGTGCCTCCATTGTACATTGGTATCTTTATAAATTCAATGCCAGTCAGTAACAATGTCACTGGTTTGTATTGCAGTCGGCGTTCTATCAGATATCCATAGTACCAGACATAGCGACGCTGACTAGGAATGGTCACACCCTGCAATGTATTGATAAGATCAAATAAAAAATTCATAAGATAAAATACATATCTTTACAAATAATTAATTTTCTTTCTTAACCAAGACATATCTCTCAGTAGTTCTTACAAAAAGTGTTTGAAGAAATTGAATGTAAGACTATGTGCTCTTCCTTCCATCTTGTATGAATCAAAACAATCATAAGCAGGAGTACCAAAGAGACAATATATCTGTTCAAGGATGTGGGATACACTAAATGAGAACACTGCTTTATCACAATAAAAAGATTACAGCTAGGAAAAATACAATAATTCCCTGCCTTTATGGTATGGTAAAACCACAGAAGAGATTTGGTCTGGACATCCCAGAATTCCAATTCTCTATGTTACATTTCTTCTTGCATCTCAAGAGTAGGAAGGATTCACAAAGTATATACATTGTTTTGTAAGTATCCCTTACATATTTCACCAATTACTTCCATGAAATAAGAAAGACTTGTGATGAGAAATATTACATCAACTAAAATAATCTGACAAATATACCAAATTTAACTTCAGCTGCAAAACTTAACAAAATCCCTGTCCTTTGGGGTTTCTACTTATCAACACAACAAAAATACTTTTCATGAATGAAATGTTGGAAAAAAACAAGAGGACTGCCTTGCTCGTCTAACTAATTCAGCTGTTGAGTCATTTAAAGGGAAATTATTTCAGAAATAATTTGTCATCATTGGAATCTGTCAGAGCTCCAGATCTGAGATATGTCAGACTCCTGGTTGATACAAAATTAGGTTCCTTTCACTTACATATGCTCCTGACCAAATCGGGGCAGAATCCCACAAAAAAAGGATTTAATAGAATTTCCCCTATTTCCACTTCGGGCCACCCAAAAGGGTGAGACCTAACTTTTATCAAAAAAAAAATTGTCCCAAACTAAATTTGGACAAAATTTCATTTCTACAAGAGGGGTAGGATTTTAATCAATTTACTTCATTTCCAATACTAAGCTCCTCTAATCCTACCTCAGGGGGTAAAGACCTGACCTTCATTCTAAATTTGGATGAAATTTTATTTCTACATGAGGGGTAGGATTTTAAACAATTAACTTTATTTCCAATATTGAGCCCCTCCCATCCTGCCTCAGGAGGCAGACCTTACATTCATACAAGATTGATTCCCTTCACCCATGAATATTTCAGACAAAATTTGAACAATATCATTCATTCGTACAGGAAGAGTAAAGTTTCAAAAAAATTACTTATTTCCCCTATTGGGCCCTCCCCTCCTGCAAGGGGAATGAGACATACCACCATACAAAACTGATGCCCCTTCACCAAAGAATGCTTCAGGCTAAATTGGGATAATATCCATTCATTATTACAGAAGTAGGATTTAAAAAAAAAAAACCTGCAAAATTTCCAACTTTCAGGCCCCTCCCCTCAGACCCCTTAGGGCCCAGAGAACCAATATTTATACATACTTGGTTCCCATACTCCAAAGGATACTTCTAAAATAATTTGGTCAAAATCCATCCAGTAGTTCATGACTAGTAAAAAGTTTTAGTAAAAAGTTGATGAACGCCAGATGTTAGATGGATGCCATGTCATGTCATATGCTCACCAGTCCTTTGGACTAGGCGAGCTTAAAACAAATGAGTAACTCAGTTTCAGGGGAAGGGGATGAAACTTGTTGTCTATACAACTACATCATAGACATAACAAATCACACCTTTGCCATATAAAAATGACAGTCTCTTATATTGTTATTCCCAACCTTGAACATACGTCATTCTCGCATCAAACTTTATACAGATGTAGCACTAAAATACTACACATCACATATTTCAATTTAATATCACAACTGAAAAGATCAAATAATTGTATTTAATATGCAGAAAATCAGCCGTGTCATATTTCTGAATTTCAATAAGAGAATGAGATCATAATTCTTCCATCTAATATGGACTAAAAACAATGGAATATTTGAAAGAGTCAAGTAGACTGTCAATAGTGTTACATAATATTCTACTTCAACATTAACATACCTTATGGTCCCTGGTCCGTGTCTGACCGTAATGTAGTAAAGCTTCATTATAGTCAGCAAAAAGCTTTCTGTGCAGGAGATAAGCACAGATCATAACACCTGTTCGCCCCTGTTATAACAAAAGTAAATAGTTTAAAACAAAATACTACCAACAAATTTACTTTAAATACCAGATGTTCATATTGTTCATGTACTACATGATAATTAAATGTCTTAAATATCCAAATTTTCACAGAACGACAATCAATATGTTATAATTTTATCACTCAACAGCAATTTGTATACCATTTTCAATATATACGAAGATTCCCTGAAAGGGCCTCATCATCTGATATAAGTCAGCGACATTAGAAAAATCATGAAACTTCCCGTAAGTCTTTATTAACCAGTATCTCATGTAATCAAAGTTAAAGTTTCCCCATCAGTGGAAATAAAGCTATCACAAAAAAAACAGGAAATAAAGTCTCCACGCCTTGCTTTAGTCATTTTCTTCCAAACCAGGACAGGAGGCATACAATCTATACAACTTGGTTTCTTCACTCTAAGAATGCAAAAGAGTGAATAACACTTGAACATATTAAGATTTTACATCTAATTAGAACCGAACCTCTTGTTCTTGTGTTTACAACTATCTGCTTATTCATCATCCAGTCCTCTTCCCCAAAGGATGCACCAGACCAAATTATGTCCAAACCTAGTCAGCAAGTTGATTCTGGACAATTGGGTTTTACAGATGATGATGGTGGACAAATGATATGTAAATAAAGCTTACCTTTAATATGGGGAAAATGGCTTCAACATCAGGAAAACATTGCCCACAGAAAAACACTTCATTTCATCAAATAAGGAAATGAAATTCTAATCAACTACTAAAGCACTTTTATTGTAGATAAGATTGTTGAGCACCCATAGTTGTAATCAATCTATATATATATATATATATAAGATTAACCTTGCCAGCTTTGCAATGTATTGCAGCAATGTTGTTCCTGTCCTTTCCAAGCCACTCATCCAGATCTTCACAAAAGGGTTTGATTAGCTCTAGGCGTGGTGGATTGTGGTCCTCAAATGGAAAACATACCACACGTTTGTGGAACTTGACAGTATCATAGGATCTTTCTATGCACCTGCATTAGAAAATACACAGCGAATGTAATCAACAGAAATAGGTATCTCCAATTTACAACTAAAATGAACATTGCTAGGTCAGAAAGTAGGTATATTTCTGATCTTGTATCAACAGTCTTTTTGTCCTTGACGCAGACCTTATCAACTTTAAATTGTCAATTAACTAATTCTGAGCTAATCTCCTAAAAGTAAGAGTGGATAGTCTTTCTTAAATCACAAGTGATGACAGATACATGTATTACAAAATTTGGTACTTGGATCTCTAGTGATCCTTTGATAAAATGTTTTGGTTAATTTAATGGTAAAGAAATAATATATACATAAATCATGACTGTCTATATAGGCCACTGGCTTTTGAGTTTCAGTACAATACACTTTATACCAATTGAATGCATATATGTATCATAAAGACCTATACGCCTACTTACAAGGCCAATGTATCTTTGCCCCCTTTAATTGGCTTTTATAGGCAGATTTGACAGGTACTATTTGTTATTTTTAAGAGAACAACAAATGTTAAAAAATATATCTACAAATTAATGCACACTCCCTTAAATACTGGATTTTGGCACTTCACTCTGCCACATTTTCAACACTGATAATGGAAAGTGTTAGCACTTAAAGTAGCTTTTTCTGGCAGACTACAATTTGTTGAATGTAGTTTTGTACATATTCAAACAATTTATTTTTACTTTCATTTTCATTTTTTTTTTTTTTTTTTTGTAGCCTTTCTTGAGCATAATAAGTTACTAGTCACCAACTGCTAATTTAAGTTGCCATGGTAACTAAAATATGCACCAATCTGAGCACTGTGGGTTGTGAAATGCAAAACATGACTACCTTATTTATTATGCTGTGTCACAGAACATCTAAGTTAATAATTCTTTAGAACAGGATGTGATGTTCAAGAAAAAGCATCCTTGTCATCAGAGAAATAGGAAGTGTATTGACCAATATACTGTACAGATAATTCACACAATACATGTTTGTATATGTAGATATTATGTCATTTCATCACCAAGTGGCTTTTTCCTGACAACAGTGAAAAAGGTGAATTAATCACTATCAGCAACAGGAAGAAGAGGCCCACTGGCCTAAAGGTCACAGAAAGTCAGAAGTTAGTCATTGTAGGTGTGATCCATCTTAGGGATTATGTTACATGATTTTGGGCCAATTAAAATAGTATCAGACGCAAGTACATGATGAGGTAATTCTGTTTAATTTCATACTGATGCATGTATATCACTGAGAGGCTAGTTCTTTCCACTTATCTTTGTATTCTAGTGTTTAAAGTTATAAACCATGAGTTTAAACATGTACAAATTTTAAGCCTAAAGTCATGCATCAAGCTTGCTAAAGGTGTAGCTACAAGTCAAGCCACATAACTTCTGGTATCAACATTAACACAACAAAACCTCTTACCTAACCCCCCTCCCAAAAAAAACAAAACAAAACAAAACAATTTCTTATCAACATTGAAAAAATCAAAAGTAATTGTGAAATTGATAATAGGAGAACTTTACTGGAAACCAAATGCATATCATCTTAGTATAATACTAAAGTTATATTACGAACACAAAATTTTAACAATGGGCATTATCTCTGTAATTAACAGTTGCAGTCGTACAACCAAATACTACAAATACATACACCAAGTTTCATAATCCCAATTTAAATGCATGCAAAGTTATGCTCTGGACATGAAATTTTTAACAACCACGTAGGGATAATCATTTTAACAACCACGTAAGGATTATCATTTTAACAACCACATAAGGATTATCATTTTAACAACAACATAAGGATTATCATTTTAACAACCACGTAAGGATAATCATTTTAACAACCACGTAAGGATAATCATTTTAACAACCACGTAAGGATAATCATTTTAACAACCACATAAGGATTATCATTTTAACAACCACATAAGGAACCACATAAGGATTATCATTTTAACAACCACATAAGGATTATCATTTTAACAACCACATAAGGAACCACATAAGGATTATCATTTTAACAACCACATAAGGATTATCATTTTAACAACCACGTAGGGATCATCATTTTAACCTTATTACACTAATCCAATCAACTGATGTGATTTACAATAATTTTTTGTTTTGAAGACATGTACATTAAGGGCCCTCCATCTGCCAGATTTGGGGCCGATATTCTGCCCCATTCCCTTCCCAATGCAAAATAGTATCTTTTTTCCCAATTTAGACCCTAAGTTTTCCCAATTCTAAGGAAAACACCATTATTTTTCCCAATTCTAAGGGCCCAGGGCCCCAGTCCCAAAATGGGGTGTGAGAGCCCTGACATTACTAATCTAGCCCATATTGTAAGAGAAGAGAAACTGCTATCAATCTGAAGCGATTTCAACTGAATTGTTCATTAGGATTTTTTGTAATGGAGGTTTAATGAAAAATCAGTCGTAAATATATCATATTCATATTTATTGCACTTAAAACAGTCTCCAATGACATTTTTGGATAAAACACTTTTCCAATACAAATTTAACCATCCTTAGACTCAAAACTTATTCTCATGTGAAAGGACTACCAAGAGGTCCACATTTTCTATCTATACCAAATACAGAGACTCTAAATCTCTCTAATCCTACAATCATTTGTTATATATATATAGGTCATATTACACATCATGTGACACCTGTACACAGGTCATGTGATACTAGTAACCAACCATTTTCTGTACCAAGATTTTCAAATCATGTGATGCTTGTATCCAAACACCCTTGGTTTTTATAAATAGAAATTAACAGGCTATACAATACCAGTAATCAACCATCTTTTGTAGCAAGGTATACTGATTAGAGATCCCAAAACAAGCATGGTATGCGATACCTCACAATGTTAACACAGAATGTGCAAATGTTGGGTGCTGAAGTTAATTTGTGATCACAGGTACAACTTCAGTTGTTATATGGGGAAATTTCCTTTAAAATAATTTTACTATTTTTTAATAAGGTTTGACAATCTTACATGTATGTGATTGTACAAAATTTTCATATTTCAAAGTTCAACTGTTACAAATTGAATTACAAGGAGTCCTGAAATGGCAAACTTTTTAAACCATTTATGGATTGTGCATCAATTTCCCTTTTAAGTGATAATTGTATAATTTTCAACAGGGACAGACAACGCATAAGCGAGACAAGGCAATCGCTATAGTTCACTTGAAACTCCATGTCTAGTAATCTCAACATTACAGGGCTCTAGATCTGCCAGATTTGGGGCCGATATTCGGCTCCATTACCAATGCAAAATAGTATCTTTTTTTCCCAATTTAGACTCAAAGTTTTCCCAATTCTAAGGAAAACACTGCTATTTTTCCCAATTCTAAGGGCCCCGGGCCCCAGTCTCAAAATGGGGTGTGAGAGCCCTGTATTATCTCCTGGACTCTTCACTCTAAAATACACCAATCAAATGATTGATATATTTTTGTACATAAAAAAATAAGTAGACTTACATGGACGTAGACATATGTAAAGAAGTAAAAATTTGAATCTTGAAAGCTGATTCCAAAGAAACAGAGACCAGGGCACAGCTGGGAGGCATTCATTGGAAATGTTGAAACATCAGTTGGTATTAATGATACTTACAAATTATATACCTTGTAGTGGTCTTTATGTCGTTGGTCCAAAAATCTGAAAACAGAAACAAATATTGTATATCACACAAAAATCCTAGCCAACTTCATTAGTTTACTAGTACATTTCCCCTCAAGTATAGCATACACAAAATTCACCTTATTTGAAAACTTGCCTCATGTTGAAACAAAATTTGCCAAACAAAAAATGCAAATTTCACTTTTCACTTTGATAATTTTTAATTTCTCTTCAATGTAGCAAATATTCTGCTTTTTCACAAAAGAGTATAATCCCCCAAAAACCTTAATTGATCCCTGCACTTAATCTAAATCCTGTAATAAAAGATAAATAATCACATATAAAACATACTGTGCAATGTGACAGATTTATCCAAAATAAATGACTGTTTTGATATGTCAATCACTTTAGTAAATGTGAAATTTCCTACAAACTTTCCTCTTACACTGTTCTACCATCATAATGATCTGTATATCTTTACCATTACACTTGTTTCATCATAATTAATGTAAGGTAAATGTTCCAATATTTATCTTAAATAATTAAACTTAAATACATGTACCTAGAAAATTGGAGAAAAATATTTATTATTTGTTTTCAAATCATTTGTAGAAGTAATATAGACCAGAATAAGCCTAATATGTATCTTTCATAAAATATATTACTTACAGCCACAAACAATAGAGTGATCAATAAAGAATTTATTTTGTTGATAATATTGAATGTCATTGAATATGTGTACTTATTATCTAAACCATAGATGCTATCAATATGTAGTCAGACATGTAAACAGACATGTATAAACCTTCACCTTATATATATTCTGGCCTTTACCATAGCCAGGTCAATTGATAATACAGCCTGTTTTGCTACCTAACACACAGTAATGAAACCTTTACCTTTAAAAGTGCATACTTTGACCTATAAATTCTTGTCAAACAAGAGATGGACAACTGACCATGATACATCTGATTTAATATAGACCATACAATACATTCAAAAAGCAAATGTGTAATGTGTAACATATCAACAGTGTGTTCTGAGAGCATGTCTCTCCATAATTTGTCAAATCTGAACAATCAGATTTCATTTTGGAGATTTCTAAAGGACAAATCTATCTATGCCAAAAAAGGATAAGTTCCCAATTTACACCTTCAATGATATCTACTTCCTATCACTGAGTAAACTTTCTATGTAGATATGACATGCAGATATGTTTCTCATGTGTGTACTGACCTACATATAATCTGTACATGTACAAGTTACATCAGTTAGTATTTGTATCATCAGTTAGTAAGCAAAGGGATGGACTACTAGAAGTAAAGACACTATTTTGGGGGAGTACAAACAATTTTCATTGATAAATAATTAACATGCAAAAATGATTCAAACACAAGTGAACTCAAATCAAAATCTATCTCAATTCTAAAATCTTGAAATTCAATTATAAAATATCTGGCTTTTAATCACTAATCAGGGATAACAAGGCCTACCCAACTATCATACTATTAGGTATAGTTATTCTGATAGACACAAATAAGGTTTATCATCAGTTTCTTGGGAATAACATACAATGCATGACAAAGAGTCTGCCAAAAATTTACAATGCTCTTCATTTTCTCAAGCCTTGTTTCACTCTAAGAACATCATATTCATGTAAGTTGGTTGCTACAGGTTTTTTTTATCTCTAAAACTTGCTATCGCCCAAGGTTGTCTCTACAATGAACATTAATACTTACCGTGCCACTTGGTTGATGTTATTCCTATAAACACCCTCGATGGATTCAGCAGGGAAGCCCATGGCAATTATGTTTGGATAAATATCTGAGAAATTGTTAAGGTAGAAGGTATCATCAACAAAATCTTAGATTTATTAAGTAAATCATTGTACATCTATAATATGACTTTTGACTTTTACGCAAAACTTGCATTTTTACAGCCTTTTTATATCCATATATGCTCATACCTTTTTATCGCTGTTTATCCAGTAAATTTGCCCATGTAAAATTTTGGTGTATATGTCACTGCACCAGTAAGTAATCAACTGTCATAATTATTAATAATGATGTTACGTCATGAATTGAAAATGACACTTTTTTTCAATTTAAACTGTCAAAATGTGAATTTTCTGTGTTATGTGGTCAAAAGTATCTAAATTTGTTCGCATTTCATATGACATTTTTAGAAAATTGTCTCAAAGTTTGAATTTTTGCTCACCAACTTACACCAACACTCAAAAAAAAAAAACTTGTTTCATCAATTCTCGTATGAAAAGCCATTTAAAAATCCTATATATCCAACACATTTATAATATAATAAATCTAACATTTATAAGATATGATGACTGTGGGCTAAAAAAGTGCATTTCAAAGTTTTATATTGCAATCACTGGTACATGGATATACATATATACATCACAAGTAATTAAACAATAATCCATAATTTTTAAACAAGTATCCATGGTTATGTTTCGAATAGCAAATACGGCTCCTAATAAAATGGCAATTATGTTTCCATTTTGAAAAATACATCTTCATTGTGCATGACAATTTCCTTATCATGGGATTTCACTACAATCTTGGCTGACAGTTTTAGTATGAAGGGTTATACAACAGAAATTTGGATCATTTGGGTATTGAGAAGAAATTGTTGAATTTTTTAAACACGTTTGACTCCTGTAACCTTGAAAGTAGGTCAAGGTCATTCATTTGAACAAACTTGATGGCCCTTCATCCCACCATGCTACTGGTCCAATATCATGACCCTTGACTATTTGGATATTGAGAAGAACTTGTTTAAAGATTTAAACATGTTTAACCCCTGTGATCTTGAAAATAGGTCAAGGTCATCACTTGAACAAACTTCATCCCATCATACATCTGGCCCAATACCATGACCCTGAGCTTTTTGGTTACTGAGAAAGAGTTGAAAATGTAAATTGTTTACAACATAGGATGGATGCCGCTAGACAAAAAACGACCACTGTAGGTCACTTGAGACTTTGTCTCAGGTGACCTAAACACTCATTGAAATAGAAAACAACAGCAAAACAATCAACGACCAAGAAGAGTAAATAAACTAATTACCATAAATGTCTGACTCTTAATCTTAGTACACAAATTTTCCATTTGGTAAAAATCTATACCTTTCCAAATTGGAAATGGAATCAATTCCTTTGGGAATGGTATCATTATCTGACTCAATTAAAACACTGCAGTCTCAACAATTAAGACTTAAGAATAAGATTTAATGTCCTATCAGTTTTTCTAGTATTAATTTACTATAAGAGAAGTGCTGTACATGTATATTCACCGAAAATATCAATGACATTCAACAAAATAGTTTGGTAATTCATGCAGAATATCTGACCTACATTTTTAAGATGTCACAATTGTTCTATGTCAATAGGAAATGCTACCCATCAAAACAATAGAGCAAAGCACTTATATGTGTTAAAATACAAGATTTACAAGGAAACAAAATCATGTACTGGTATATCCTGTGCTCAGTCCCATACCATTACACTATATTGTGTATCAATATGTTTATATTAATAGCATAACACAACAAATATTTCCAAGGATATTCTGTCAGATATATGTTTTAACATCAAGACATAAATTTAAAGTTTCCTATACTTAGTAAAAATTGTCCACCTCTGGGTTTATGCATGTATACAAATGTAACTAACAACATAATATATATATTATTATCATCATATGTCACTGTGAAACAGTAAGATAATGCATAGCACACAAAGAATAGTGGCAACATGGATTTCATCTATAAAACCATAAAAAATTGGGGTTTTTTTTTATCGTTCGTAATACCTGGTATACTCAAGCATAAGGAGGGTCAACATATATACTTCTACTTTGTCCAGCAATAAGGATGTGTCTGATAATAAGCTCATCCATGTTTATTACTGTTCAGTGGAAATAACATTTACTGTTTATTGTCTGGCAATAAGCCCACCTCATACAAAGAACTTGTTCAGGCTGATGAAGTCAATGACTGATATCAGTACAAAGGGTGAGGTAGTCAAACATAGGGTATAATCCATCTGACTCATTACGTGTATAATATGCAAGTAGATATAATACAGGTTTATCGTGTATTTCTTGATAGGGATCTATACACAATCATGAGGACTAATCATATTTAAGATAAACATCCAAGAAGGCTTTTGAGGTACATAACTTAACAGAAAAATCTGTATATTACATAAATGAATGTGTACATTTACTAGTTGTGTTATATTGATATGCATGAATTTTGACGATTCATACCACCAGTCTTCTATATTCATTACAAATGGACCACCTGTGAAAGAACTACATTCTCTAATACCAAGGGGTACAATAAACATGTCCTTTTATCCTTGTTTTTGTTCCCTAGAATAACACAACAATCTGTGTACAAGTAGTATATATATAATTGGCAGCTTTTAATCTGAGCTTATTGTACAAAACCACAGAAGATACAGGCCAAATAAAAGTCCTCAGTGAGTGCCCGTGATAATATGTGACAGGCACAGCATTACTCTTGTCCAGATTTTCCCACTGGATCTTATTTTTACACACGGTATATACACCTCTTGTGAGATACAGGAGATATATCAGCTTCCCCATAACAAGATTAACAAATCCTAAATTTACCAATCTTCTCATACATCTTATGTGCTATTCCCACTTTTTCATAATGTAGTCTTTCTCTTTATTTCTATCTTATGAAAGTTATTTTCAGGTGCAAACCACACCAACTCCATTTTTCTCTCTATCATTGCACTTTATCCTGGTAAATAAGAAAAAAAATGAGGGTAATGAAATTTTCAAAAGCTAAAACTGAAGATAAGAAAATACTTGAATTACTTTTCTGTAGACCTCTGTTTGGAAATGGGTTGCTAAAACAGATGAACTTGTTTGCTGAAGAGACATCAGATTCTCTTATCACATGATTAAAAAATACACACTACTCCAAAGCGATTGACAGACAAACTCCTTATTCATTACCAGAATTTTTGGTTAGATTAACTTAACTCTGGTTGTTGCCAGTGTTGGGAATAACTAAGTAATTCAAAATGAAGCAAAATGGGTAAATGAGGTAAATATGTTGTAATATGCCTTAAAGTCCAGGGTGGGTGGGCTTGTAGAGCTTATTGCAGTACAATGGAAATGCTCCAATTAGTTAATCAGAAAGTAGTTTTACTAAGACTATCTTATTTTAAGTAAATTAGTTTGTCACAGAAGAGGCCTGAAAATGCACTTGCATCTGGGATAAATTTTTGAACACACAAAATCTTTCCTATGAAAATTCTAAAAAAAAAGTTGGCCATCATCAATGGATTGAAGCTGAGAATACACAGTATGTACTGAAGTATATACCTATATATATGTTGATAGTAATCTTACACAAAAAATATTTATTATGTACTTTTCTACATAGTAAAGTTTTGTAGAGCGAAGACTGCAATGGTTACGGCTGTCACAGTATCTCATGTTTTAGGTACTTATCATTGTTAAATTAAACGGGTTAAGTTTGTTATTAAAGGTCCAAAGAGTTACAGTACGACTACAAATTAAATCTCCATAAACACATATGGTAGACCAGGTGTCTTACCTAAAGCTTAGCCTTGCATTTTATAAGGCTCTCAATAGTAAATTCTTATATGTATTATTACAAAATAAACTTCAACGTTCAATTTGAAGCATTGATTTTATCACTAAGTTGGAGATTATTGTCAAAGGAGTCTATCAAATATTATTTCAAATACAATTAAGTCCTGAAGCGTTATATTGGATCTAAATGTCACTCATAATGCTGTAAAATAATCATTCATTATTGTAACATGAGCTAAATAAATACAATCTACCTATACCATCTATTTCAACTGTAAAAGTAGCTGAATTCTACAGTATCAGTTTTGATAATACAAATTATTATGCATTTGTTTAAACCAAAGTTATGTATAAAATTTAACATATTTTACAGTACCTAGCTTCATGTACATACCAATTTCATGGAAGACTTGTTTTTAAAATAGTTGAATACAATTGCTATACTATAGCAAGCAAGTTATTCATAGGGTACTGTTTCAGTTCTATTTTAGACATTTGATCCCAAAGACCTTGAAAAGAGATAAAGGTAAACATTTACTGCATTTAAGTTCAGTATACTAAATATTGGAAGAGTTTCAAACTATCATACAAGGAAAGTGTGTAATATCCTGTATACTGTATAGCCAGTGTTCACACAGACTTACTTCCGGGTTCCAAGAACATCTGTAGGCATATATACTTACATGTATGACACATAAACACTATAAAATCAAACTACTACAGCCAGCTAGCCATCTGAATGTTTTATATGTACACAAGAAACATTAAACATGACATTACATGGAAAATGTTTTCTTCACACCTCTGTATTTCTTGAACATATTACAATATAATCTATATGTGATACCACATATGTTGATGTCACATGTCTTGCTTCATTTATTATCAATTCATTTGGTTGTAATCTGAAAAAAGAGATCTGAAACATCGAGAGGAAACTTTGCACTCATCCTGCTGATTTTCCTTGGTTCTATGTTAGACTAATCATTTGTTCTTTTTCTGTCATATCCAGTCATAACAGTAATGAATAAATAAGTGGTAACATGTTAAGCTTGAAAATGTAAAGTACTAGTTACATGTGATTGATTCCATAATATAAATTAAAATGGTCATTTGCAGCCATTTAGAATACCAAATTAAATGACATCCATAATTTTGAACCTATTAAATTTGAACTTGTCAATGAAGTTTCAAGATAATACCTTACAGAGTTCTGATAGCGAAATAGCAGAAAGAAACCTCTAATGTCAAAAGCCTAACTACTGACTCATAATGATTAGGGCATGATGATCAAGAACTGAATTAGAAAGGGATATCCATTGAATTAATGTCAAATCAATGCAAACAAGCCAGACAATACAACAGAAAACAAATATGTTTCATTTGGATTTTTACTTGTACAAACTGTTAGGAAAGCTGCTCCATGTTTCAAAATTCAGACCCATCACAATTTGTCTGTCTTTTTTTTTTGGTAGCTAACTAGTTATAAGTTCACCATAAAAAAACACTGAATGCTAGATTTAATTTATAGTTGCTTTATATCCTATTAACAGCCAGGGTCATTAAAGCAGGAGTTCCCAAAGAAAAAAAGAAGACCTGTGGCTAGTACCTTGTGACAGTCCCATGTAGGCCTTGAAGCCATGACTTAATGGTGGAGGGCAAGTGATAAAGACCCTCAGACGCCTTAATCCCTTGACCACAATTGTCCCTATGTATGCATGGTTGCCTGTTTGTTGTCCAATATTTAGGTTTGTCTTCTGAGCATGACAACAGCTATTGTCAGAGTCTCCAATGTAAATTGTATCATGTGTAAAAATGACTGTGTGGTAAATATAAATCTGTAACCCAAAATCCAAAATGAAACACCTGGAATTTCATAAAGTTTTGATTTAATTTGCATTTACTACCCAAACTGAAGCCTAGCAAATGCAATGATTGAAGTATTCAATTAGGTATATACAGTTGAAACTTGTTGTCTTCAAATCACTCAAGTCGAGATTCTGTTTGAGTCAAAATAATTTCCTAGTCCAGACATTTTTCTTTCTATATATCTTTGTAATTTTAGTTTGGATGACTCAAATTTCAATGAGTCAAAATTTTGTTTGAGTCAAAGAGATCCTTCAGTCCCTTCAATTGTAATGCAAGGAAAAAGTCATTCATGTTGAAATCAATTTTTGTCAAAACATTGGCTCGTCTCCTGCTAAAATCGGTAAATACATACACAGAGTAGAAAGTCACCTGTGCGAAAACACATGGCTAATTACAGCATATCCATTCAACGTACACATATCACTTGGTCTCCTGTGATTAATCACCAGTTTAATTATCCAATCAAAATTTGGCTTCTTAATTAGTATCACCATCCTGTTAGTGTTTTACCTGTACATTAAACAATCAATGTATTTAACCAAGACATGAAAACATTTAGCTTGGTTGTGTACATCTCTACGAACAATGAAAACAAATTTATCAAAACAGTAAGAACTTTTTGATGAAATCTGATCCCCACAATTTCGAAAGAAGACTAATATTTGAGCTTGTTTACTAGTGCTTGGACAATAAAGTGCTGAAAGTATTTTCACTGATACAGTTTATATCTGCGTGCTTCCAGTGCTTGTATAATATCAAAACTTTTTAGTGCTGTGTTTTTCATGTTTATCTATTCATAGTAAAGTCATATTAATGTGAACTGAAAATTTCATTCATCGTTTCTACAAGTGTATCAAACGCAATTTTTTTGTTTTGTTTTATTGTCATTTCAAAAAATATATTACCTATATTTGTTTCATCAGGTAGGGTAAGTGTGCACATGTGCAGGACAGAAAGACTGAATGCATATGTAGTTGATTGGTGTTGTTTTTACACATTTTGTTGTTTAGATGAATGAACAACAAAAGGAGAAAGTAGAAATTTGTTTGCTTCTGTTTATTTACTGCCATTTCATCTATCAGATTAAATTACGCTGTTCATACCATGGTGTACCATGCTATAGTCTGTACTTCGTTCAAACGTAATCAATGTCAGGAAACTAGTATCGTCAACCTTATTTGCACATTTTGTTCGTGTTGAAGATGGGATAAGTCAGAATATTTTCCACAGTCTCTTGAATTTCAAGATAAATAACTTTTGTTGTATATATATTATTCAACCAGCTTTGTCAATCTACCACAGCCTCTACAGGGAACAAGATGAAAACATTTTCATGTTAAATGAAACAGTTGGTGTCCCTAAGGCAGAGAAGAGTGTGGTCTAACCCTTCAACCCAGTTAGCTATTGCTAAAGGCACCTGTGGGTAAAGGAAAATTAAGGTCAAGTTTTTGAGTAAGAGAACCTATATTAAGAATTGGGCCTTTGATGTCATAATGAAGAAACCAATAATATTTGTTATCAATAATGTGGAAAAGACGACCATGACACATAGATGATATGTCCTCTTACAACTTATGCTACTGCTTGTTATAATTAGAACAGCAGGTCCTGCCCTCCCATTTGTATTTTGCATCATGCAAAGGTCAAGGTTTCTGAAGTCAATGTGAAGGGTGACACTGAAAAGATCACCAGCATCTGTGGACTCGCAGCAGTTGATTCCTTATATGATCTTAAAAGCAACAGTAACAATGTGAAATTATGATAAAATACAAAAAAAACGATAAAATGCAAACATGTACACAACACAAAATAGGAATGATACACAATTATGACACAATACAAAACAGCAAAGATACACATGGCTATTGATTTAAGAACAAAATACTTCATGATGTAACATTTTCTTTGACGAGGAAGTAGAGCTTGAGATTCTAATTACATTTGTAATTAGAGGAAGCAAATTGATACTCACTTTTCATCATCATGTTGGAATTTCATACATTGATATGCTCTAGTAAATAAGATTAATGTTAGGACTAAGTCATGACCATTTTTGGCAATGCTACAGTACGGTACTTAAGTATGTATAGTAATAACTGGAAGATCTTCCTCTATTATCATATATATGTATGTATACATGCAAAAACTACAAAATTTACAAACACTGAAATACAAAAGATCATGTCATGGTCAGCATTAACATTCATTAATGTACGACAAGTCGATTACAATTCCATCACTGATTGTCATTCTTTTTTTTATTTCACATGTCGTCTGCGTTGGTTGTCATGACCAGATGTATAAATGTGGATCACGAGAAACATTTCCTCAAAAAAAGGATACAGGTCAAATCCAAGTCAAAGCCATCTTCTTGATACCGACGCTTATTTTTACTCACAATTGAGCGAATCTTATTCGCCATCCTGTTGCTATCTTGGTCATCTATATGAAACTGTCACATCATATTCTCCAAATATTATCCGTGTTCAGTCATACAGCCTTACACATTTCTATAGAGCAACAGTTGAAATAACTGCACGTCAGCCCAACCTTGTACGGATGTAGTTCAGCGTTCTGGCAAGATGAAGCAATAACTGAAGAAAATATGAAAACCGATAGTCATAAATTCATAGCTCAGAAATCGTTGGCATCATTATCCGTAGTCGAATAAGTTTTCGTGAAGAAACTGCCATGTTGTTTTCAGTGTGTATGCGATTTATCGTTTCATTATGGCGGCTTCCTGGTGCAAGGATATTAATGCGCTTAAAAGTTAGTTCACTTTAGCGACAACAACAATTCATTTATTTTACATTTTAATGTTAAGTTACAATATTAACTTGTTTTAGAATATTCAAATTTGTTAAATGAAACCAAACCAATTAGTGATTACGAGCAAATTATTATTTCAGCGAAGGCGTATGACCGAAGCACCTAAATAACCTGTCCCAAAGGTCAAAGGTAAAACTGTTTGAAGATCTTGTGACCCACTGACCTAGTGAAGCATGATATTGAACCGTACAATGACCGAGTTAAAATCTATAAATACGTAATAATTACAGTTGCCAAAAGGAATAAGATAATGAGACAAGAATACTGACATAGTACAAATTAAGAATTATGTGACATACTTTTTGATGAAATCACATATTTCAATCTAAAAAAATGTATGATATTGAAAAAAATGTCCTGATAATGATAATAATTATAGCACGGAATTTGATTAGTACCTGTATATGTTCGTGTGTTTTCGTTTTGTTTTTAAATACGAAAAATAAAATGGGACTGGGACAACAAAGAGAACATCGAAATGTTAACATAGTCTTAATTGACACATCTACGCTTGCAGCCAAACAGGGAAAACAGTTCAAGAAGCTTATAAAAGATATTGTGGTATCACTTAATTCGAATTAATAGTCAACACGGTCTTATCACATTTACTGATATCACTTATTCGAATTAATATGTAATCTATATCAAAATAAAGACATTTATAATTATACTTTTTTAAAAATTTTTTTTTTAAATATCTATATTACTTGTAAAATACACGTTTCCATAATACACATACGGATGAATATTGTATGTTGACAATGTATCATATTGGTGCTAACATTGATATAAGTTTCTACCTGTACAGTTGTTATGGTTGTGGACATAACTATAAGTCACGAGGGCTTCAGTATATACAAACGATATGGCTCTCATGCACTCCTCCCAGTATGTAAAAAAATCTTGAGCGTTTCTTCTGTCTGTTTTAGATATCATGACAACTTTTTGTTTGCGAAATATTATACATGCAACTACTAGAATTGTTTATACTGGAAATAGTCTTCTTAAATCACTTCTCTTACCTATTGATAGAAAATATTAGCGATCCTGAGTCTGTTTATCGAGATCGATAGTAAGTTAACTATATACACGCTTGTGATATAAACAATCAAGTTTCAACGAAATTAACAGTTATTCATGTTTTTTCATTGACGGTCGGTAAATGTCAATGAAGCGTGTACAGATTTTACTGAACAATTTCTAATTATAGCTAGACAATGTATTCATACGAGAAATGTCACTGTCAGGCCTAATGGTAAGCCGTGGATGACGTTTGAGCTACGAAAAATATTAGTCATGATATGTGATAGACTACACAAAAAAAAAAACTCGGTGATTGTGATACAGTAAACTTCAAACGCGCTCAGAATAGATTTTGAAATAAAATATCTATATATGCACGTGAATCATTTTATGGATAGCGTTTTTGAAACTATGTAGCATTAAAGAGGAAATCATAATGGAAAAAAAGAACTATTACGAAGTTGAAAAAATCTAGTTTTCACTGTAGAAATTCCTCGTCTTATTGATTACGAGGTAATTTTGTATATAACGACGATAAAAAGGTTAACTTATAAAACAACTAGTTTTGTCTATAAGCAGTTTAGATGACTAAAACTTCCATGTTTTATCATTACATTCTGTAAACACAACTCAAGACTAGAAATAATAGTAATGTACTTGTATACGTCACCACATACAAAAGTATACAGCTAATACCAGTGTAAACGTCTACAAAGTCTATTCTATAGGTCATTGTCAGAATGTATTTATCCAGATTTGTTTCCGGGAAATAGGTTATAGTTATGACAATGTTACAAAAAATGAGACGTGGCGTCTGATTACAGACTTACTTCCTTACCACTCATAGTAATCTTCCAACGTGTTATCATCGAGTAAAACACATATATAATTATTTCTATAAAAATGATCTGTTTCATATCAAGAAATCATGGTTTATGCCACGTCACTGTACAGTTCATCAGGTAATTGATATTTCTCATAATATTTGTTTGAATATTGAATAAAGGAAACACACGTGTATTATTGTTTTGTGATATCTCTAAGGCTGTTGATAGAGTTTGACACAAAAGTCTAATAGCATACCAAAACATTTGGTATTTTAGGTAATACTTAAAATGGCTAGAAAATTACATCAGATACTGAAAACAAAAAGTTTTTTTTATCAATAGTAACTTACTCTGATAATCAGGTTATGGGAGCAGGTGTGCCTCAGGTTCGTTCAGTGTTAGGACCCTTGTTGTGTCTAATCTTCATGCATGGTATAGCTGATAGATTACTAAAAGTATGTTGACTTTTTTGTACAGAAGTTGAACGTGTAATTAATCCTGACCTACAATGCATAGACTATTGGCCAAAACAATGACTAGTTACATTTGATCCAAATTAAAGTATTATTTATTAGCAATATAACAGAAGATTTTGAACTGTATTTAAACGAGACAGTTATGCAATTCTGAGAAAACCATAGACATTTCGGTGTCACTGTAAACTCTAATGCTAAATGGGGTAACCATGTAGAAGATTTATACCGGTTAACATCTAAGGAAGTAAATGTTATGAGGAAGTTGAATTCGCAGTAAACAGCGAAGTACAATGTACTTAGTAAAATTAATGTTTTATACTTTCAACTTTGGAACATGCTGGTGAATGTTGGAGTGACTGTTCCTATTTTCACGTCGATTTACTAAAAAAAGATTCAACTGGGAGTAGCAGGAATTGTAATAAGACTGCCTAGGATGCCAGTTAGCAATCTTCGTATTTCTAAACTGAAGAGGAGGGATGGACTTTAATAAATAGACGAGAATGAAGAAAACTTAATTCATTTTACAAACTGCATAATAAACTCCATATCTGTATATATTATTACAGGGTTTAGTTAGAGACAGAAATTCATACCTATTGAGAAACTGAATAGCAGTTATCTTATTCCAAATTATAATCTTATATATACTAGGTAATCAATTACACTTATAACCATCAGATTCTGGAATAACCTCTCGTAAACAGTCAGGAACCAGCCAACTCTGTATGCTTTTGCAACATCCGCTCTGTTTTAACCACGTACCTCGTCATCTGAATATTTTTATTTTTACTAAGACACAATTGCAGTGCATTAAATAATTATCTTTATCGTGTAAATTCAACTGATCCCCTCTGTGTGCTTGTAGTTATCCTTGTGAAAATTCATAGCATTTTATGTTGGAATTTCCACTTTATAATAACATATGAAATTACATGTTGATTAAAACACGTCAGTATATTAACCCCATTAATCTAGATACCTGGTACACTTCTGCATGAAACGATTGATCTAACATTAGAAAATAGCAAACCTATTTTTGGATCTGTTGAAAAAAGTATTCGTGCATTTTTTTTTTTTTTTTTTTTGTTTTTTTTTTTGTTTTTTTGTTTTTTTGTTATTTATTTCTTTTTGTTTATTTACTTGTTTATTTATTTTGTTTACATAAACTATACAAATTGTATACAATAATCATCTGTCTGGTACAATGAAGGGATATCTAATAAGAGCATGAATGTGCATTAGAACAAGATTATCAGGTGTGATATTTACATGGACAAAAGAGGAAGTGGCTGGAATGTGTAGATAGTAGAGACCAAGAAGGTATGTTATAAATCATATATCACTTTGCAATAAATACTGCTGTTTATGATCAGATTTGCTCTTTGATATTCTTGCCGTTTCTCTGCACTTTCAAACTGCTCCTTCCTTCATTCTTCTGATTTCCAAATTCGTTCTATTTTATAAGATGTCCACATATTTCTATTGTTGTTGTCACATTGTTGAATAACATTGTAGAGGAGAGTATTAAAAAAATATCGAGTTAATAAACTCGTTTTATCTTCGTCATTAGTGAAACATTGTTATTATGAGGCTGTACAAGAGTAGGTATAAATTGTGAAGTTCCAGTTGCTTTCCATTGTATTATGGATATTTTCATGAAATATCAAACAACCATACCTTTTCCTGCTGTTATTATGTTGAGACTTAATTAACCTATCACGATTTCCCCCCAAATACATCTAAATCAACCAAGGTTTGTCATTTGGTCTTTGAAATATCACATTAGATTGAAATGCATGAAATTGCAAAATTCAGAAAGACTAGCATTTTGATACCCGTAAAAAGATCTAAAAGCACACATCGTAATGTTATACAAGCAGTACAACTATCATGGTTACTGAAAAAAATTATCACCTGGTACCACAAAAATCAACGCAGGACAGTGTTTGAGTGGGAGAATAGGGTCGAGCAGGCTGGATTAGTCTGCCCAGGACAAGTTCGTTCATTTATGACATTACTTGCATTAAAAATAAAATTATCAAAGAGAACGTGGTCAGTTGATGCAGTTAATGAGTCGACATTGAGATAACCAATTCCTAGTATTTTTAGTAACGGCGAGAGCATTATTGATAGACGTATGCAGGTTTCCCCCCACAATGCTCTTGCCTAAAACCGACATCGGTCGAATATCTTCAAATGGGCTGTTCCATGTTAGGATAAGTTTGATAAGATACCGATATTTTCTATAACCCATATTCATTTGTTATTTATGCTTGTTAAACACCATTTCGTCGGATTAAGGACCAACTTGTAGTTTTGCTTAATTCATTCCAATCATATGTGACTAAAGCAACATTTTCATGAATTATTGAAAACTAGAGAATAATTATTGGATACTGATTTTTGGGCATGAATGGACCGTATACAGACGCACATAATTTACAATGCAGACTATTACAACGTGAAATCAACGGTTTTTATAACCATCCTCGATACCTCAGGAGTTACTGTTACTTTTACTTTGTGCATCCCTAGAACATGTTACGGCAACATTGAAGGCACAAGTAATTTCATTGGTTCCAGGAGAAAAAAAACTGACCTATCACAGACTGGAGCGACACCCAACTTCAAAGCCATTACAGTATACCGTTGTGCGACCCTGAGATTCGATCGATGTACATCAAAGGATCAAACTAGTCTTTTCGTATCGTCCACAAGTTGTTGCACATGGAACCTTCAATATTGCCATGATATGTTCCAGGGGAGACGAGAGCGAAAGTGATTGTAACCCTTGGAATAAGAAACTGGCGTTAAAGAAGAATAACAGGTCGACAGTTTTACCACGCTAACCAGAATAAATTACAGAAGACAAGGACAAACACTGTATAAATATATACTACCCTGAAAGCAGATACATCTGGTAAAACAAATAAAAAGATTTAGGGATATTTTTCCAGACCTTGTATGCTTAACGTTTACCAAAGCTCTCGAACAAAACAGCATTGAGTCTACAAACCTGCTCTGGCATGTTCATCGGTCTGAAGAAGATATATATTATCTTCCTGCCAAGTTTCCGTCTTGAAAGAACATACAGATCCGACATGCTGACATATACAGGTAAATCTAAACACAAATTCTATAAAACAAGCCTACGATATAAACAAAAGAAAGATTTACACACAAGCGCTTCAAAAAGTACAAGGGAAATAAGACCAATTGTTTCGAAGGGTAAACATTGTGCTTTGTCAACAACAGGTACCTGTAGTCATCACATATGGCAGGTAACAGATAGAACGAATAATGTCTTAATATCAAGATGTTTGATTTCTACGGAATCTTATTGGTGTCAAATGAAATTTTTAAAATGTGAAAATTAAAACTCAAGTAGTAGACTTAAAAGCTGCTATGTGAATCACTTACCACTTCTTATGAAAATCACATCTATGTCCACCAAGTACCTGCGTCCTGACGACACCCACCATATAAACTTTGTCAATGACACATTCCCAGATCCTGTCGAAGTACACGTCCCTTAGCAGAAGGGAGGTAACCCCGACAAATAGACGTGTATGACAAGCCAAGTTGTCCTTTATTTAATAGAACAAAGCTGATCCAGTACTTAAGAAAATAAGATATCTAATTTACGAAAAATATATCTTATATAATGAGGTTAGGCACGGGAACAGCATTGCTCCATCAATAAATAAAAACTTGGCTTACCATAAGTCAAAGATTCACATCATATGCACTTAATTAGCTGACGAAAAAATATCATGTATGCATATATACATACCGTTCTTTTCATCATCGAACTAAGTGCCTGCGTTCACATCATGCCAGGAAAGCAAACTCCATATAATCTTATAGGGATAGTACCAGCAGAAGTTAACTCCCAAACCCTCATGATGTGCTGACTATATTGATCTGTTAAATCTCACAAAATTTGTATTTGCCCGCTTACGATGTAGTCTACAATCATAGTAAAATAAAGAGAAAGCGCAAATGTTTATTTTGATTTAAATATATTTTATTGCGAAGAAGTAGCAATAGGATTTGGCACAGGTTTTACAACGTATATACAGCAAATGTAGAGAGCCGTGCCCGCCTCCCTCCATATTTTGAGGCGATAGAAAAGTGTGCTTTTTCATACTTCCATAGACGAACATGTTCAATGGATATATAAAACTGCAGTTTGTAAAAATGATCCAATTCGATAAAGATTTGATTCGGGTACTCACGGCCTTTTCAATGATACAGAATTACAAAGAAACAAATAGTTTGGTGGTTGGCTAGCACAGGAATAACGTAATCGCCTTTCACCTAATGATTGCTGGATCCAAATACAGTAGCATTGGTCTTAAGTTCATCGATGTCAGGCCGATATACACACAATAAGACCCCTCGCACGCTTTCATCCGGGCCAACAAGAGTGATTAGTATAAGTTGACATAACTTGTTTCGCAATTGTTGTAAAATAAATAAAGTTTATTATTATTATTATAAAAATAAAATCGATAAAACGTAAGAATACAAGTGGGTTTTCTCCGAAGTAAGACCCCTCGCGCACTTCCATCTGCACCACATCAAGAGTGATGAATGAAAGTTGACATGGCTTATTTCACAATTGTTGTAAAATAAATGACCAGTAAGTGTCAACATCCAAGATGGCAACCATTCCCCTCTGGAACTAGAGACCTATCACTGGGTCTTGAATATCAAATCCATAATGGCAGTCTCTCTGCCATTTTGTTTTCTAATCAGTCTCAAAACTCCATAACTAACAACGAAAGGAAACCTGCATAATTGTTTCACTTCTTTCTTCAAACTAAGATATGATTACGCTACATTTGTGTAGGGGCCTATGGAAAATGTTCAAATCAAGGTTGGTCATTTGTCCACCATTAAAGGCCTGTTTTTGTCTAAAAATAATTTATTTTGTGACTTACATAATTTGAATATACACCAGTGAATTTTTCCACTTTTGAGGAATATGGGTCACAAATTCAAGAATGGATCAAGAACAGTAAATTGTGGACGTGTTATCGAACTTCCCTGGTAAAATAAAATTACCTTTGTTGTTATTATACATCACTTAATACTTTCATATAAAACAGTTGGCATTGCACTTCATTAATCTTTTGAATGTTAAGAGTAATGATAGAAAGCGTATCCTACGAAGGGAGATAACTCTTGCAAGATTAGATTTACTGTGCCCCTGGGCTGCTGGGGGTAAGACGCGTTGGGACATTCACAAAGTACAATTAAATGTTACTGGTTTTGTTTCAAGGATTCAACGTCCATACAACAGCCAGGGTCATACAAGGTCTGGTACAGAGACAGGTACCCCAAGAGGGTTTGAAAAGTAACTTTTTCTTGGTATGTATTTATCATTTAACTTGAGAGACAGAAAATATTAAGAGTTACAAGCAGAATTGTGCATGTGTATCTATTATTCACCCCTGGTTGACAGGTAAAATTTCCTCAGTAACAAGAGTATTTTCATAGGGAGAGGGAATGTTAATATGCACTAAACAAAGGCCTATACATGTACTCAAAACTCTATTCAGTTTTGTTGAATAAACAATTAAGATGGAAATGTATGCAAAATGTTATTTATTTACTGTACAGAACTCATGTGTACACTTTATTTGCTTTCACATAGCAGAACCATCCGTTGTCTGATACAACTACAACTTGTTACTCAAATATTGTACAAATGAGTAGGCAATCAAAAACAACAAAGAATAAATGAATATTGTGCTGATAATCATACAGATGACAATGCAGGGTTATAAAAGCTTATACAACAGAGCATGCAAAAAGGTTAAAGTTATACTGTATAACAGGGTTTTTCTTCAGTCTAATTGTCAACATAGGATTGCGAGGCAAATACGGAGCTATCCAATTCTAATTGAGAAAGAGCTACATTATATATCTTTAGTTCCTGCTGTTCAATGATTTAAGTATGTCCCTGATGAAATTACATATTCTTTTTTTAACACTGGATGGCAAATTTGTGAGCGACGAAACAAACCTGTTATACAGTATTTAAATTTCATACTGATTACTAGGACTGAAAAACTTTCATCATTTACGCAACATATTCACTATTGTCAAAGATGTACTTGGTTTTATATGAAGTATTCAAATTTTGTAACAGTAGCATGTTATTATTTTTTCTCATACGTTTAAAAGATTTTGGTCCCAAGTTTACCTTTCACAATTTCATTGGGACTACTAGATATATCTAAAAACATAAAAGAAGGCAATATATTGAATGAATGATTAATTATATATCTTTGATCAAGACAAATATGAATTCTGATTTGTATGTTCAGTGAATGAACCAAGAAAATATCAGGCATAAAGTCCAAACACTAAAATGATAGTAAATATATCTAGATCTCTTCTGATTTAACAATAGGACTGTAAGTATACCCCAGATTAAAATTTTCATGAGAAGAATGATCAACATCAACAATAAAATAACATTGCCTTAGTGGGGAAACAAAATGTGATCTTAAATCAGAGAACTTCATAAAAACTGAAAATAATTTACATGACCATGATTCTCCATTCTCTCGCCAACCACTCACACAGCAAGCCTCTCATTTCATACAAGTACACATCATGTATATAAATTGCACCCACTTATTATAATTTCCTTACCAGCTGCTTTGAATGCTCTTAACTAATATGCCATGGAATAAATCATTGTTATTTTTATAGAATACTTATAAGTATTTATTCAAAAAAAAATACCAATAACTGAGGCAACAAATGTAAAAATCTCAAGACTGGAGTTCTGAATTTTTCTGTCTTCGATATACGTGGAAATACAATTAATTGTACTTGTAATCATTCATGCATATCATTTTTTCGAACATACACTGTACACAATCTCATCCTCTGAAACATAACAAGATTACACTTATTCTACACCAATGTTTATGTACAATCAGTATAAATTGCAAGCTGAATATTCTAATACATGTATATATTAAATCTGTAATTCGTGTTTTGAGACTGAAATAAATATCCCGTATGGATCTTCAATTTTGGGAATTTTTTTCTTTGTTTTTATGGTTTTTTTAGGTTTTTTTGTTGTTTTGGTCTTGATACAATAAAAGATGAAGGGAAAAAAAGGAAATTGACTAGACTTAAAAATCTAATTAACATCAAAATAAACCTAAAAACCTCTAACTGAATATTAAACTATAATGCCAATAAAAAGGACAACTACTTTTTATGGCACAAGTCAGAATATCTGAAATACTAGGTTTTCCACCATAATTTTCACCTAGTTGGAATTATTTTAACTATGACTACATCTTTAATCATTTTTAGACAGTTTTTTTTTTCAAGACACTCCATGTTACATAAGAGATAAACATGAAAATGTCTATACAGACACATATGTGCTTAATTACAGTTTTATTGTCACAAGAGTTCTAATAAGCATCACTAACTAGGATAACGCAAACAAAATTTTCATAAAGTCACCCAATCCAATACAGCAGCACCAAACACATCCAAAGTCTGTTCACACGTCCTCACTTTACAAAGGCCATCCTGTGTCCAACATAATATGAACAACAAGACCACAAAAATGCTACTGGTTACAAATAGAAAAAATCATACCAGCTTCCTGAAAATTCTTTTGTACCATTTCAAATATTCAATAAATAACCTGGTCCAAGAAAATAACTTGATATCTGCTATGTACTATATACACACACACCATATAATTTGTGTTCATATTCTCTGATGGTATATGCACTCACTCTAATCGTGTCAGAATTTGAAGTTTATCTGCATAATATGGTATGGTGTAGCCAAGTCACTGAGCAGTATCGAAACAGCTTATAATCCATATCCCCCAGAGTTTAAAACTGCTGCTTTCCTTGAAATTGTCCTATGGTGCTTAAGCTGGTAGAGATATTTTCTTGCCTCTCATTACTGTAAAATAAGAAGATAATCTGTATCAGTATGTTAACATCACTTACCTTAAATTCAATAGATATTTAAAATGTTATGTAAACTAAAGTGTTTGGGTTGAGACAATGTTAAATAGAAAATTCATGCAGGGCTTGAAATAATTGCATAATCAGTCTTATCAGTTTTGATGGACCAATATATATTAATTAGAAAGATAGATTTCAAGAATGAAGGAAGTTTGATAGCATCTTCAGCGTCATTTTCAGATAAGAAAGTTATGTAATTGAAAATATTACTAAACTTTCTAGCCCCTTCATGAATTAAAACATACACTATTAACAAGGACTTCACAAAAAATGTCTGGTGTATACATTACAGAAGTACAAAAATCACAAAACCGAGGAAAACTGTAGAAAATTGCATGCATCAATACCTTATTACCAGAATCATTCAATATTTTTGCATGCTTGCCAAACTTTCATAATAAATATATATATAAACAATACATGCAAGTGGATGCAATTGCGAATGACGTTGCTGTTAGTAGCTTGCAAGCAAGGACAAATATCTTGACCTATATCCATAACAATTAACATATTCACTAAATTTTTTTTAAAAAAGCTACATCATGATATGTAAAAATTAAAGTTCCAAGCAGTAACACTATTGTTCATATCAACTAAAACAGCAAACAAAAAAAAAAACAAAAAACAAAAAAATATGAAAAAGGAAAAAAAACTACAAATAGTTGTAGAGTACAATTTTATTAAACTTAGTAAGGGTGTCCTATTGTACTGGAATACCATGAAACATGTCATTTTTTATCTAGCAGTAATGCTACTTTAAATCTACATAACATATGAGAAAACTTTTACAGATGTTGGGTTTTTTTTTGAGTGGATCATGCTCCAGAAAGTTGTATTTATTAACATTAGCTCCAGAAAGTTGTATTTATTAACATTAGCTCCAGAAAGCTGTATTTATTAACATTAGCTCCAGAAAGCTGTATTTATTAACATTAGCTCCAGAAAGTTGTATTTATTAACATTAGCTCCAGAAAGCTGTATTTATTAACATTAGCTCCAGAAAGCTGTATTTATTAACATTAGCTCCAGAAAGCTGTATTTATTAACATTAGCTCCAGAAAGCTGTATTTATTAAGATTATTACTTATCCAAAGTTAACACAGATCAGGTGGTGGAGAACAATCATGGTAAATAAAGCATCAGTGTTGGTGATGTTTTAATCCTATCTGTCAGAATTTTAACAATACAGTTAAACAATAGCTTGATCACTTTATTCTACCTTTTGAAGTTACTTCAAATCAATTTGGGCTTCCATACTAATATTGTTTGTATCATCCTGTCAACAGTCACTGTCATTTTCAGATGGGTTTTTTATCAGTGCCATATTATCTTATACACAACCAATAATTAAACATTATACAACTTCTGAACTGAAAATACTGTCAATGAATTTGTTTATACAATTTAAATAAAATCTATATTTAAGTCTAAGTTAAAGTTTGTCAAGTATTTGTACCGAACAATATCACAAAAGCAGCCAACTCTAGAAAAACTATTTTAATAGTTATTTCACCAAAAATTGTATCAGTTGTCAACCTGACTATGCAATATTTATATCCAAATGTGTTAGTTACATGCCATTTTTGTTACAACTGATCAGCTTTCAATCTCAAATTAGAAAAAATATATATATATTCCTGCCACTCCACTAACACTGTTACCGTATTTTACTGCAAATAAGCCCCCACCAATCCAGTTCAAAAAAGACTGTCAAAAGAGGGGAGGGGGCTTATATGCAGGTAACAACAAATATGTTAAGATTTCTCTAAAACTTGCAAATCACATGGACATGATTTTACGAACGCGAAGTGTTCTGAACATGTGTACCTAGTAGTGTGAATTTTAATAAGAAAACACTACAGCTAAATGCAAGCCGCTATACAAATCTGCAGGAATCTGGCCATACCATAAAACCCTAGTAAGATTGAGGTGATACTGAAAATGCAATCTAACCTTTAAACTTCCAGCAATGGGGCATCCTTGAAAACAATCTCGTTATTTGTAAACAGTAGTGATCCTTTGCCTGAAATAGTTCAAAGGCAGCTTTTACCTAATTCAAGAACAGAATACAACAGTTTCTCTTTACTTAACTCAATTCTATTAAAACTCCCCATTATTTTGGAAAATTTAACTTTTATGTGAAACACCAAGGCAGATTTTATGATAATTAATGAAAGGGGCATGTAAGTGGGCAGTGTGCATAAAAAATATTGTCTGTATCCATAATGGAGCATAATGTCTTCAATCCACACTTTCTTAAAGCCTACCGACTGCATTTGGCTACAAAACTCTAATAAAGCATGCAATAGATTGATAAAAATCCTATTTTAAGCCAAAGGTAGCTCTTGTCTCAACCCAAACAGGAAAAAAAAAAGTTTTTACCAAGAATTTAATTTATACATTACCTGAAATAAAAGATATGTCATCCAAAATGGAAAATCTTAACAATTTTTCTAGTAAAGCTGCATACCTTTTTTCTCATCGATCTTAAATTGTACAGAAATTGACTGTTAAAAAACCATCATAAAATGCAGTACATTTCGTACTCATAAAAAATTAATGAATTTCTACAAAACATATAACATAGAATGGGAGCTCTCTTTAATTTTGATATGTAGAAAAACTTACCCTTGGTGATATACAAATAGAAGAAATCACAATAAAGAATGGTCTGTACAACTCCTGCTACCACAGCAATCAAGTCGAAGAATCCATCAAAGTAGTATCGGTACAGCCAGTTAAACAGGTAGAGACCTCTGTAGGACCCCAAGGCAAATAGATAGTGGCTGGTTATGGTCTCAGCCTCACCTGTCTTACTGACCATAAAGAGTTGGGGCAAGATGGCAACAGATTCAAGGTAGATGGAGAATGTCCACAGGATCTGTATAACAGAAAACATTTTATCATTGATGTCATTCTTTGAACTTCTTTCAATATACAAGGAAATTATTGACATAATATGAGATTAAAAAGTAACAAAAACATGGAACAATTAACATGTTTGTAATGATTAAAAGCTATGTCTTCAAAATTGTTTGTGATAAAATTGAACTTCACATTAAAAATCACTGGCTTTTCACAAATCATAACAAAATTTGAATAAACATATCAATTAAAAGTAAAATTATTTTATTCTTATATACTCTACCTCCATAGGTGAAAATTCATGGTTGACAAGAAAGGCCAAGCCTCCAACAGGTGCAATTAAAAACAAAATGCGAAAAGTGTCATGGTTACTGTCATATGTGGCCTTGAACTTGAAGTACATCAGATACACAGTCAGGAAGGAGGACACGATGAAAAACAGCTTCATGCATGTATTATATACAGAGATGAATGAAGTAAACAGATCAAGGTACCGAGTTACAAAGACCAACGCAAAAAGGATCTGGCTTTTCCCGGAGATACCTGTAACAAAAATTGAAATCACAGTGAGTTTTGGTTCAGTGATATTGGTGAGATATTGTGCTTGCGACAAATTTATCAAATATTTGAAACTATACACAGAAACAATCATAATGGCATGTTTCACTAAGCCACTAACTATTATATAAAAATCATGGCAAGCAACCACCTGCCATGCTCTTTCAAACTGACTGATACATATTAGGCAATAGTTTAATAATTAAATTTTCTTATTGATGACCAATGGCTAACTTCTACCAAAAACTTGTCTTGAGCTCAAATTATGTTAGTAATAATAATAATAATAATTAATAAAATGACTACTTTTTTCAAGGACTAGTAATATGGATTTACTGTCACTGGTGTTAAATGTTAATTTGAAGAACCTTTACAAGCAATATCTTAGGCCCCAAAACTAAAGAAAAAATAAGTCGAAAAATGTGTTTGTATGTTTTAGTTGTTTTTTACTTAGAAATTAGAATAAAGAATCAATCTGGACATAAATGGTATTTTCTTGAAAATTGACAATTACTAGTGTTGACTAGAAAAAGGGTGGGAATTTTTTGCTTTTGTCTGTTGTTTGAATATCAACTCCATTAAGTGGTCCCTTTACCAGACAAAACAATTATGATACATCAATGCTGTTCAAGCATCTTTTTTTACTTTTTGTACCTATGAAACATATGATATAACCAATATGCTTAACATGCTGCCGTGAAAACTTTTTTACCTTAATTACAGTACCCAACTAGCAGAGCTCTAGTCTAATGCAACAGCTGGAGCTGTGATTTTAATTGGCCTAGCTATTGGTTTGTTATACGGTGTGGACACAAGACATTGCGGTATATCATGTTATCAGTTGGAATATCTAGGGTACATCGCAAAAATCATTTCCATTATATCATGTATCTAAGTATCATGTACACAAAACTGCCCAAATTTCACTCGAAGTCCACCGATGTTTACCTGTCAACAATACTGTTTTATACGTAAAGCAATATCTGTATTTCACAGAAATAAGGCAAATGAGAGACATTTATACGACAAAACAATGGACAGTTGTAATGAATACCAACAAAACCCTCAAATTAAATTAACTAGTGGTTTTAACAGAACGTTTCTCGCCTGTCTTCTTTGAACCGGCCGGCAGGCTTAGGCCACGTCAGGTTTTTACAAGTTTACAAACTCATGATTTGGGTGGAATTCAATTTGCCAACTTACCTGCGACGGATCTCGTTTTCCACATTTTCAGTAGCAATATTAAAATTGCTAACAAATGGGACATATCCCCTGCGAGTCTGAAAATATTCATCTTGACTGTTGTGCTGTTAACTCCACGTTCCTGCAATGGCGGTTGAGGACGTGGCTGGCGCTGACACGTAATGCGGGAAGTAACTTCTTGAGGGGGAGATAACTCGTAGCAACCGGCTTATAATGTACACGTATGCTCAGATGGAATAGAGGCCGTGATTTAAATGGATGGAAAGCTGCTTGCGGATGAAACGAAATTAACAGAAAAGTGATTGTTTAAAAAGATTAAATTAAAAACGAAAAAAAATCTGTTTCACTTTAATAAAAAAAATCTAACTTAGCATATCATGACAATATTTAAACAGGTTCGCGATCACAATCTTTACAATATATAGATATCACCAAATCCTTCCCACCCTGTCCCACATATCCACGCTTTAATCCTCATACAAACTGCATTGAAAGGCTATGCTTAAAAGCCTTACTTACGCTTTTGTTATTTATTTACTTTGATAACCATAAAGAAGGGACAATTCTAATAATATTTGGATTTATTTATTCTTGGTAACATATTGAGCAATGTGCTCGTCTTAAATATGGTCAAGAATATACAATATTTACAAAAATAAAATAATACAATACATATCACAGGCAAGTAAAATACAGCAACAACCGGGAGGGTCCCGAGAGGCTTTAAGATATAGATCACGGTAGAATTTATAAAAAAACCTTTCGTTGATCGAGAGTTTTCAGTTGTTACTCTTCAAATTTTAATTGCTGCAGTAATAATCAATTGTTCTGTTCAAACGTATTTTCAAACTGTAGATCATCTCGCAGTTTTATTTGTTTTAACCAAATTCAGGAGTGTCTTTATAATACGCCCCTACCAAATCAGATGATTTCTTCTATACTGACTGTAGTAATGTGTGAAATCATATAGGACATAGTCATAGGATGTGAAGTTAGCTCATGGAAGGGGTAAACCACAGGGGTTCTCATTGGGAGTTTCACTGACGCGCCCTTCGAAATAAATGACCAAATGCATCTATATGATAAAATGTGATATTTTTATTCAACAGATATTGTTGAACCGAATTGTAACACTCTGATTTTTATAATAATCATTGAAGGGGGTTATTTTTTGTTTGTGATTTCGAAACACGGATATTTATGCTATCAAGGATTTAAATTCAAAATGTGGCCGATATGTACAGTACTATTACGGACTAGTCAATGTGTAACACATATGTAGGCTACAGCAGATACCTATAGAACTATGACTGTACGGATCTCCCGAGTTAAACGGTGACTTTGAAATCCGTATTAATATAGTTTGATAAAATCACTCATCCATGACTGGCCCCATTTTACCTTTGGGCTCTCGTGTCTACGACCCGATAAGGGAACGTGACCTATGATATTCCGTAGAAATAGCTGCATATGGGAGATATCGTTCCATATAAAATGTTCCTGCAGTGTTCTTTAAAGCTAAAGTAGAAATAGAATTTCCCACATCGTTTGGTAAAACAAATCCACGTAAGAGCATCCTGGTAACTAAAAGTGTTTCTTAAAATGTTTGTTTTGTGAGATGGTCAGTAAAACATCATGCGGAGAGCGGACATGTGAACGATACAATGTTTCAGTTGTGTTCTTCTGTTTCTATAGTTGATTGAAATGCTGACATTCGTGACCAGGATACCTCTGTCCACTTCCCGGCCTCTTTTTCACCCCGATTCTTCTGAATCAATTGCAGACCGTGATGGATGAAAAAGTCATAAGTATTCATAATCTTTTCTTCTTATTGTCCGAATTGAGATATTGCATTCACGGAGTTGCATTTGCAAAACGGGGGTTTTGTCTGTGTATGTCGGTAAACGTTTAGATTATCTATGTAACAAACCATAAGATTATCTCGACATTTACCATGAGACACAAGAAGGATATTTCGTCCATCATCTTTGTTGGCTCTAAGAATGACTTCACCTCAACTTGTTTCTTCTCTTATAAATCACACATAGACATGTTGTATTGATGAAATTTGACAGTTACTGGGTAAGTTGAACATATATTTTGAGCACTTATTCAGAAATGGTAAAGATATACTATGTCAAAATAATGGCCACCAGTCTCATAATTGACAATGTGAAATTCGAAACATATTCCCGACCCTTTACCTCGTTGTCCCCACCTCTTATTAAAGGGTCCACAGTCTCTCCGTTTTATTCTCATCATGCTGTCCGAGTTGCTGACAGGTGTGCTGCATAACATAATAAGAGTTATCTCCCTTCCGCTGTGTGCTACCGACAGAAAGCGAAAGTGATTGTAACCCCTGGACTATCGAGGATGGGGAAAGGATCACTACTGATGATGTTAGGATGTAATATATTTGCTGTTTGGGATTGTTTGCGTTCTGAACCATTAATAACTTTTCGTTTGCCTTATCAATTTCCGTTTGCGTTTATGATCAAATAAATGTTGAAGCAGCTGCCTGTGTAACCCGAGGGTGGTCCGTATTTGGGAGACAACATTATAGATACAATGTAGAGAATTGTGATTGAATTAATATCTGGATGGATTCACAAGCAAGTCTTCACGTCGAGAAAAATGAAAAAAAAAAAACCCCATTTATGACAGAATCATTAATCAATACAACAAACGATAAAATTAACAATATTCACCAAATGAGAAAATGTACAATTACCGCTAAATGATCTATGACATTGTAACATTAAAACATCAGCGTACAAAAGTCCAAAAAATCCCAATTTTCTTATCTAGATCTAAGGATTTAATATATTACAACCATTATACTATACTACATATTTTAATTTTAAATTTGATAATTAAAAAAAGTTCCACATCTACACATCCATTGCCAGGTAATTAAAATGCTTTATCGAATCAATTAAGTGATATTTTCAGTGTTAATCAGTGTCTTATTTCAAATGATCTTTTAAATCTGGTATATATATCAGAGCTTGGAATGGTTTGTATACTTCGTGTCACACAACACAATGAGTGATCATGTCTTAGAACAGGATACTGGTCAAAACGTAAATATAAAGTACGTGTTGTATTCGTATCATTTTAACAATACTAAATCTCATTTTCCTTATATTTAATCAATCACCATATATAATGAAAAACGCAACTCCACAGAAATAATTTTGACACTTCCAACGTATTCAGTCATAAGTAAGATATCGAGGCCCCTGTATTACCTGTTAGTGGTCTCAGTATGGCTTATGTTTAATGGCGAAGTAAGGACAAAGAATTGCAAAGTAAAACCCCATTATATTTTGTAATGATACGAGTTGAGGCCTATCTCCTGTAATAACCTGACTTACATGTAAATAAAACATAAAGTAATAAAATCTAACACAGGAAAATGATAGACTTATGAATCGTTATGTACGTGGGAATCGATGTAATTCATTTTTTAAATGTCTATTTCAAAATGTTCGTTTTTCAATGTCTGACATGTGATTAATAAAGATATTAGATAAGGATTAGATTTTTTTTACATGATGAACTCGTATTTTTTCTTGTCGCCATATTGTCAGAGCTTTTCTGTATATGTCATAATTTCGGCTCCTGCTTATCTACACGACACACTAAGCAGGGAACATGTAGATATTTGTGGCATAACGGAACACGGCTCTTTGAGGAACACAGTGACATATTTGATAGCGTCCACAAAGACAATATTTGGATAGCAATATCTGGCGGATCTCGTAAAGGTGGCGTTGCTCTAATGTGTCACAGAAATCTTAATTATCGGAAGTCTGTCGCGGAGTCCAATGATTATAGGATCGACATAATTAAACCGGTTACAGTCACCGATATCTTTCATATCTTCTACACACCCAGAACACATTTCACAAACACGAACCGACGTTTTGTATCAATATTTGCAATGTTTTTCTCCACCTAAAAAGGCACTGGAAATATATTACAAAGGACATCTTATGAAATAAATACTCCTCTGAGTGGGTTGAACGTCGCCACTCTTGTAATGAGTTCTCTAGATTTAAACTTCTACAGTGCTAGATGAGTCTTTTGCCACCCTAGTCCCCTTCCAAATATTTCCCACTATTCCTACAAATCTTGTAAAAATGTTGCAAAGCGCTATGGAGTCTTCCACCTAATTGTGAAGTAGTATAAGCTCAACGCAATGTATTTGGAGAGGATACAGTTGCTCATTGTATTTTAGACTGTTTTAGTACTATGTTACTTATTTTAAGTGACAATTTCCAGTCCAGAGTGTTTCCTTGTTTACTCGCGTAAAGAGGCAAAACTTGCCACCATCCTCGGCGGTCCACATGACGTCACGAAAGACGTGTTTATAACGAGAATTATCCTTTTGCCTCGTTTTCAAAGATTGTTAAATTCGCCGAAAATGCCTCCTCTCTTATCTTTATTTAAGGAGATAGCTTTGTTGATATATAAACCATATAAATATCATATAAATGGTTTATCCTGATAACTTGATTATCTTTCCTTGACACACTAGCTTTGTATGTATTTCTGTGTTTGTCTCTTTCTTCTTGATAATTATGTTTCGTACTTAATTCCCTACACTTATTTTCTTCATGAAATTTATCTATGTCCTTTATGTCTCTACCTTTGTAACTCATATTTGTTTTCTCGATGCAGTTTATAACTTTTCAAAATCGGAGGAATAAAGATATGAATGAATTTTTTTTATTGAAGTTTCTGACAGTTACAATATATATTCATATACAGAACACTTATTGCTAAGAACAATGTACAGGAATGGAGAGTGAAGACTAACTTGTACCTAACTATCACATTTCTTGTTTGCATACATCAAATATTTATCTCAATTTCTTATCTCAGATAAGCTCTTACTGTTGAGCAAATTGTATGAATTTAAACATACTGGCATGTCTGATACATCGTTTGAAAGAGGAAGTAGGAGCCACGGCGGCTATATTGGATTTTCCGATCTGTGCAAAAATCAACAACACTTGTACCAGCGTTCATAGTCCATAACCTTTGTAGATGTGCTTGTGCAATGTCTCGTGTAACCAAATCTGGTGAAAATCCGACCGCAAATACAGTGTGAGGAAAGTAATAAAATGGTATTTTTTCGTCATTCAAAGTCCCATACCTCTTGCAAATATGGATGGATGACACTTGATACGAAACCACTTTCAAAATGCAGAGAACATCCGACTTGAAATCGTAAGTTACTGTGTAGAAAGTAATAAAACGGCCAATTAGTGATCAACCCGTGCGATATGAAGTCATATACCAAATTTATACCAAAGTTATCACGAAAGTGACAAGAGACCCCTAGCCCGTAACGCCCAACAATTTCCAAATATTTCCAAATTGAAGCTCAGTCAATCTTTGATGGGACAAGACCAATAGATAAATTCTTATATCATTATCGTCTTTCTCTTTTGATGTCCAGGAAAAGTTTATATGGTTATAGGGATTTATCTCAATTATGTCAAAAATATAACCCAGAAATAATGTCCCTTGAGGTGTGCCACACACAAGGGTCAATTCTTATATAACCAATGTGTTTATCTCTTGATGCCAAGCAATTCTATACATAGAAATGGGGTAAAGATGTCAACTGTTTCAAAGATATATCACAGAAATTGAGTCCAGAGGGATGGAACAATACCAAAGAGCCAGTTCTAACATAATGAATGCATTTATCTCTTGATGCCCAGCATTGCTATATATGGTTTAGGGGTGGGGATCTCAACAGTTTCAAAGATATTATCAAGAAACGGAGTCCCTCGGAGCGTGGCCAGACCCCAGGGCCAACTCTTGCATTATGATTGTGTTTATCTCTTGATGCCCAGGATGTCATCTATGGTTCATACCAAATTTGGACAAATTATAATAATTCCTACAGGAGGAAAAAAAATTTAAAGTATTTGCTCTATTTGTCCTTCTTGCCCCAGGAGGTCGAGACTAGCCGTTTATACAAAATTGCTTCAGACCAAATTGGGGCTATATGCTACCACTCCTACAGGCGGAGAAGGAATTCAACTGACATGGTATCCCCATAGCTCACTTGACTTTCGGGCCAGGTGAGCTAATAAAATGGGAAGTTTTTGTCATTCAATGCCCTGTAACTCTTGCAAATATCAACAGATTTCATTGTTATGAAACCCATGCTAAGTCTTGTGAAAATAAAGCCACATGCTAAATCAGGTGAGCGTCTGACTTCAAATACACAAGTTATTGTGAGCAAAGCAAAAACGGCGGACAGACTGACGGAATTCATATCTCAATGTAGGGCCCTAATTTTAGTACTAACATTGGCAGAGCTGTTTATGTAATACTATGCATTTTGATTAAAACGGTTCACACATTTGTTTTGGTCCATTGGCTGGGAAAATTGCACTGCTGGATGCTTTTTCTCAGTGCATTTCTTTCCAGCAGGAAGTTTAGCCTTTGTTTGATAAGCCATTTCGGGGGCATTGGGACCCCAGGCAGATTTGTCCAACAAGGCCTGGGTTGAAGCCTTTCGGACCCAAGTGGTTGAAGAGAGTGACTTCGCAGATGTGGCTTAAGATGGGTTTGTGGTTTTCTTTTGAAAGACTATATTTTTTGCTCTATGCATTTCTCTCTCCTTCTTCTGGGTAAGCCAGTCTCAAGAGGAGGTCATATGTTGCCCAAGTAGCACAGTTGACAATTTTTGCTATCAATACTATTTTGTTGTACTTTCATACATAAAATTAGACAATTCCTGCTTAATTTCCATCTTGTACATTTCAATACAACAATGTTATTTACTTATTTAGGACAGAAAGTATTTGTTTGTCATGCTATATTCTTGTTGAAATCATCATCAACTACATGTATCAACTTGTGTAATGTTGGTAATTTGATTCCATGGAAACAGTTGCTGCTTCACTACATAATTAGTGCAAGAAGTTTTAAGTTTTTAACGTTTTCAAGAAATCAGCTACAAAAATAGCATTAATGGTGACTTTGATGCAACAGAAAAATAACTGAAAATGAATATTTTTTAGATGGGAAAGCACTGCTACACATCAAAATTGATACACTTAAAGGTAGGTAGAGTGATGTTGAATCATCCTGAGGCACCTGTTGTCGAGATGTTGGATGAGGATTTAAAAACAATGAGTAGATACTTAATATTTTTAACAAAGAAACAAGACAAATGTCAATTTGAGAGAATAAACTTTTTAATGTATGTGTAGTAGAGAGTAACTGGATGTACATACCTAGAAAATTGGTTCACACATTGTCTTTCCTCACTTACAAAAGGATGAAAAAACCTTCAATAAAATTACATCATTTCATTCATCAAGAAACAGCTCATTTAAAAACAGGAAAAGAAAGGAAAATCTTTAAAAATAACATTCAACAACTTGTCAACATGGAGAAACCAAGTATATAATATTAAAATTAAACTCAAATTAAATACTTTTTTTGCAGTTAAATGCTATTTTTCTATTACAATCAAATACATAAATTCTATATATATATATATATATATATGTAGCCAAGATCACTCACACAGCTATAAGAATTCAATTGGAAAAAAAAGTCCTCTAGTTATACAATATATGAAATGCGTATAAACACGTATATATACTTATACATTGGTATGTCAATATCTTTATCATTATTTACCATTGTACTTGAGTTATACAACGAAAAATCATCAAAATCTTTTTATAACAGAAATAAATTTATAAAACTATGAAAGATATTTATAGATTTGTCAAACTATGAAAGATATTTATAGATTTGTCATTCTTATTTTGATGAGAAAATGCCATTTCAATAATGTACATATGTACTGGATACAAAGCCTTGCTATACATGTTCCACACTGTATTATACCTTGTCAATGGTCTACCTATTCACAGTACTGTATATCTACTACTGACTGATCGGAACACTTATGTTTGTCATGAAGACATGCCCAACATTAGAAGAGTCATGGAGATGAAACAAATCTGTATCCAACGACCAATTACTAGTGTAAGTGCTCATCCTTCAAGCTCGCCCAGAAATTCCAATCTGTTTTATTTTCATAGCCTTGATAGTGGTTTTGTTCCATTCAATTGATTTGCAGTCTTTTTATTTTTCACATCTCCCTTAACTGTAAATGGTCCTAAACATGGACTTTTAGATTTGTGTGTTAAATAACTATCTATCAGAGTCAAGACAGATTGATCTGTGTTTGTTCAGTAAGTTTCTTCTTTTGTCACAGTGTTTACAAATGTATATACTTTACTGTTTTTACGAAATATTATCACATCTCCTTTTAGGCAAAATGGTTAAAAAAAATCAATTTTTAGAAAGAAAAGAAATAACTCTGTCTCTGGCATATTTCTTATTCATTGGCTAGGATGATTTGGATTTTTAAATAAAGGTCTTTTAGAATAAAATGATACCAATTGTTCTATCTTATCATAAAATGATAAAGTGAAATTACACCATTAGTAAATTTAATTTTCAACAACTAAAAAATTTGAAAAAGAAGTCTTTGAGCAAGTTGAAGACGGGCTGTACCGTGTTCCAAGGGTCACCAGCTTTATGAGAACATTCATATGAAACCAATAATCCAAAATGAAAAAAGGATATGTGTATCACAGCTAAGCATTACTTTAGGAAAAATGTGTACATTTAATAACGAAAGGATGCTCCTACAACACCAACATCTTATCCTGTAGCCACACAGTTACCAAATTGTTCCAAATCATCACAACATTTTTTGTCAGGCTCTGTGTTTAAACTGTTATAGTCACAATATAAAGAATTCAATGGAATTATAGCCACCCATAGTAACCATAGTAACCGCTCTTACACTCAAGTTTCCAGTGGTGCTCATATAACAAACATCACTGGAACCTCTCAGGTTTCTTAATGTGCTCTTTTTAAAGAAAGTTGTTACCATAGAAACCACTGCCATATTAATATTTCTCATGATATTCACCATGAGAATGGTTACCATAAAAACCAAAGAAATTGTGAGATGTCAAACACAGGTTTGTCATATACATGAAATTCCCATCATGAAAACAGTTGTGATAACAATTCATACTACTCTTACCACTTACAAAAATGTTATCACAAAGTCTCGAAAAAAACCCAGCTTTTACATCCTAACAAGTACTTAGCTGATGAGAATACCTGGTTGACACATGTACAGGCCAGTCAATGCTTGTAGGGGAAATCAAACAAAACACTAAGTATACACTACAGTACAGTGCCAGAGATATCACTCGGGTCTACTACTACTCTAGTCTACAGTGAACAGGTTTGTGTTAAATCATAAATACACTGATTATATATAGAGCTATGGATTATTGTATACTTGTACATTATGATATGCTTCTAAATTTTGTTACAATAGACAGAGGCTTCTAACCATGGCTGAGAAATATGAATGCCAGTTTTTCTTATTGATCAAAAAAGACAAAAGGAGTAAAGTTGATAATTGTTGAATTATTTCACAAACATGGACAAAGACAAAGAGAAAGAGAAAAGCAGTCTACACATACAAGCCTGAAGGTTTAAAAAAACTGCTGATTAAGCCAAGAAAATCTTTATTTCCACAATTTCTAAATATCGAGAAAGATCTACAAAATGTAGGGATTAGTTCTAGCTACAATGACAATATTTCAGATGTAATTGTATATTTTTATGTAAAAAAAAGGTCTGAACAGGTGTTTAAGTAAATTTTCTTTGCAAATATTTCAGTCCAATCAGACCTGAGCTACTACTGACACCACTCATCAGTTCAATAATTACTGCAACTGAAAGTTTCAAAAAGTATTGCAGCCATTCCCTGAGTGTAGTTGATATCTGAAAAAAGTCACCTCTTTTTACCCAACTGAATGAAAACTCTCAGCAGTTATTATAAAAACGAATTTACAAAAAATCTCAAACTCCTTACTCATGCAGAAATGTTTGGTGGAGAGTAAATCTGAAGGATAAGTAATACTATAGGTAAGCAGGTTAGATCTGTTGAAGTCTTAATCCGAGACGTAAAACAACAGTTTCACAATTAACAAACTGCAACCTGCAAACTCTACAGAATCTTAGCAGTAAATACATATTATAACATAAAGCTCAACATGGACTTGTTTTCATATTATATTTCATTTTGGCGCTATAATCAATATTGAAATGAGGCTTTTGTTTATAAATTACAATGAAAAGAAAATGAGGGTGTGTCTGATAATGGTCGTTAGATTTTGTCTTTCAATCGAGGGGTAGTTCCTTCATGATGTTATATCTGGAATTGTATTATTGAGACATAAGGATAGAGTAGATGGCAGTGTTAACTATATAACTAATTTTTATATATGTTGATATATGTGTTGTGCAAGTGACTTTCATTGCTTACATACATAATTTACCAATCTCACATTAGAGACAGATGATTCTAGCAAACTGGCAGTAATGAATATTGTTTTAACAGATCTAAGGTTACCTTGACCTCTGCCACCCAGAAGATGCTATATAATATATAAGTATCCACCACCGTAATGTTACATAAACAATCTTAACTTAATTTCATAAACACATCAATATTTAATGTTACACGGTAATAAATGCACAGATCAACATTGCCTTAGGATATTTCTAGCTCACATTTTTGTCAATTTTGGTTTGGGAATAAATTTAACCATGAAACTTCATCCCATAGCCCAATGTAAAATGTAACCTGGAGAAATAGAAACTGACTCACAGAACTCTGAATTTTTGTTGGGGTTGAATGATATAACTTAAACATTCCAATGGAAGGTTCAATATATTTAATAGATATTTGTTTTTACTGTACATATTATTTTGTGGAGGAAAACACAGAAACACAGTATCACAAGGAAAGCTGCTGTGAATTAGCGGTGGTTAGACTGTGAGGTATTTTTCATTTTTTTGATTTTTCAATGTTTACATATTTTAAACCGTTTCTGACATGTCACAGAGTATCCAATGTTATGTACATACATCCTTGAATATATGAATTTTTACATGAACAAAATAACCCTGTTTATAATGTCTGTAACATTATATTAATTGTATAATGATCAGGAAGATCAGGATATTGAAACAACTCTAATTGTTAGAAAGTTCAGATGGAACAGGCCTGGTGTTCAAATTATTTAGATGTTGTTACCTTGTACAAACTACCAAAAAATCTAAATAAATAGTGAGGACATTGAATTTATGAAGCCAATTTACACTTTACAAAGCATACAAAACATTTTTTTCAAAACTGGTTTACTCTGAGAGACACACACCACATTCCAGGAAATAAAAATGCTTATTGCCCTAGTTGGTTTCAGTCAATTATAATCAGATCACTGTTTTATCATAACTTAACCAGCTTAATCAGACAAAAAAAATATTCCAAAATATTTTGAATTGATTTATCATTGATGTCAAGAAGGTATTACCAAATAGTATATTCCCAAAAAGCCATCCGATTATTTGACTTTTGAATACATAATGAAGCTGGTAAATGCCAACACAATTGATTCAAGATAAGCACAACATATTCACTACAGTTGTTACCAGTCTGAACCCCACTACACTCTCATATCTCAAATCCTTATTCTTCATTAGAAAAGAAAAAATAACTTATGAAAATCCTAAAAACAATGTTGTACCGTGTTATGTAAACAGCTTTTCATTTCAATAGCTCTAATGGCTGTTTCTATTCAGTTATCAGGGCAGTAACATAACATACAAACTTACTTGATGTGCCATTGGTCAAAGGTACAAATTAAATATACATTTTTCAAAAGGAAAACTTACATGTAAACAAGGAGACAAACAAGGAAGAGATTTAGATGTGATCGATACTGATCAGTCTCTTACATCAACACTACTCATACAAAAGGAAATGATATGCTTTGTCTATGATGTCAATCAGTATCAACAGAGTGGTCATAATGGTGGGGCAGTCTACAATTCCTTCATTGGAATTCGTTTCTGGAGAGGATCTCTCAGTCGTCTAATGTCATGCTGTACCTCCGCTATGGCATCCTTTATCTCATTGTACTTCTGTACATCTAATTTCTGCTTCTTTGCATTTCTGTAGAATCCCAAGAGGTATTGCCTATCCTTGACATCAACAAAATTGTATTCCTGAAAAGAACAAAGAATGAGAGATGTAAGTTCTAGATCTGTGTTTCTTTTGAGAGTTACTTCCCTTTAATCATAAATGCAAAATTCATGACTCCATAACTTGAATTGTTGATGATAGATGGGAAAGTCTGTGAAGAAATCAGGCTAGATAAATAGCAGCAATAACTGATATGTGAGGAAGAGATTGGAACCATTTTCATTGGTCTATACTGAAACTAAATATGAGTGAAAGGTAGGAATTTACTACATTTTCATAATAATGATGCTTTTGTGATGACAAAGAAAAAAATATATTGCTTTCACATCTTACCTGTTTAGTGAGGACAAAGTAGGCATACATGGCGATGGTAGTGCCATATGTGATGAAGTAGGTGACAGGCTCCATTATATCCCAAGAGTAGTCCCACCAGGTGAGTCGAGCCAGCACCCCAAACTGGACCCCCATCAGACCAAGTCCCACCCAGGACAGGTTCACAGTGCGTCTGTTGGCCTTTACCTCTAGATCTTTGCGGACCTTATAATGAAATTATATTCATTAGACAAAACAATGACACGGGTCTGTTACTTAGACAAGCAACTCAAAATATAAATAATTGGATCAGATAAAATTCTCTTTATGTGACATAGCTGCCTGTACTTTGTTTTGTATCACTCTCATAGTTTCAATATCTTATAACAAATTCCACTTCAATATCTTTCTAACTTCTGCAGGAGAATTGATATCAGGAGTGAATTATGGCATAACAAAACATATCATGTTCATTATTAGAGAGTAATGATAAAGAGTTTAAATCATTAAACATACTGAGTATTGCTAAATCAAACATGTTCCCCACTGACCCTTGCAAACTATCAGAATTTATAAGTGTATGAATTCTGATGATGATCCCTAAAAATATTGCAGACATTAACTGTAACATCTTGAAACAAAATACTTTTGTATGAAGAGGAGGCTGTGTAATTATATGTCACAATAGTTTTCAGAGTTAACTCCCTTTGGTGATTTTGTATTCAGAACAAAATCCCATTTCATCAATTAATAAGGCATTCGGACTGATTTTAATATTGATGTCTTGCCATTTGTAATATTAAGTAACTGACAATTTTATCTCAGACAAAAGAAAAAGGTATGATGTTATGATTGATACCTTTTGATAATGAAAGCATTCACTATAATTATTTTGTCAAATTAAAACTAGTGCACACTATTTATGCTAAATCAAATATGGGTTTTTTTTCCAATGAAGTGATCTGCACGATGTATGGAAACCATTACAAATGTTATACTAACTTTTAATCTCTGTAATACCTTCCCAATTCATCTCACACACTTCAGTATGAAGATATTCAATTTGCACATGAATTAAGGGTCCCTAATAGAACTGGTGCTTGTTTGGTATCAAATGTTTGTAGCGGTTTATGTTAAGGAATTATCACTTCTAACCTTCCTTGATGAATAAGTACATTTTCGTTGGAGTATATTACAGTTCTATTACTATAAACATACATATTTTCCAAGTAACCTTATTTTAGCACTTCTAGCGCTGAAATTCTTATGCTAAAATATGAAGGCAATAATTGACAGTAATATAGATTTTATTGTGGATGTGTGAATTAAGATAATTGCTGAAATAGATTATAAATTAAGTACATTTACAGTAAAAGTCAATTTCACTAAACTATTCAATAACACTTACATTCTCTAAGGAATATAAGCCAAACTGATCTTCTCTAGGGAGACATCGATAGCATGGAGAAGGTATTGCTTACCTGTTCTAAGGGAGCTAACTCCAGTTTGAGGTCCTCTAGTTGTTTCATTAATAGTTTTTCTTTCTCTATCTGGTACTGATCGATGTGGAGTCTGCAGTACAGGTCAGAGATCAAAGACTTCATATCCGACAGTTCTGCTACATGTTCACTTGGTAATGCCTCTGTAGAACACATAAAATAATCATTGTTTATTACTAAATAAACAGAAGAACCTGCACTTTAGCATAACTTAACACATCACTGACACCTGAGGAACTATTGAGTGATAATTTTTCCTAGAAGTATCAAGACATTCTTTGCCATATTTCATCTGGTCACTCTCATGTCTTATTAAATTGGATCAAAGCAAAAATTAGGAAAGAGGTATAAGACTCACCATAGAACAAAATTCTGTACCAGGGAACATGCCTTTTGTATATAGTGAATCCATAAACATGGGAAAGTGATATTGATCTATTATTAAAGTTTTGCTATGGAGTACTGGTTGGTGCTTAAACAGATATTTCTATTTTTTCTGGTAAATGTATAAATTCAACCAACAGTTTGAACAGCAGGCATTTTTAAGTTACTTCTTCTATCAATATTTCATTCATTGTAAATGTAACCTATGATAACTGGAATCTCTATATAGTTTTGAGCATTCTGAAGACACCTGTTTGTAATGCTCACAGCTATATTTCTTATCCACTGCTGACTTTTTTTTCTAGCAAATTTAATCAACCTTAGTCCACGAGATCTCCTTCAAGCTTTGGTTAAGTTGTTCAGTAATATAAAGATTCTATACACAAAGAAAACAGAAATCCTTGAAATGCTTCAAGTCGTATTTACTACAATCATGTACATTGGAATACCATCTAAAGTTGTGTAGACTTTGTTTTGATATGAAGAAGAAAATCGTACAAATGTTTAGAAAGCCTGGCTTTTGTTTCTGAAATCCCTACAACTGCTGCAGTCTCATTGTTATTGGCAGTGATTCAGAGGAATGTACAGTTACAGTCTCACTGCTCAAAACAATCATCACAAGAGAGTATTGATATCTTCAGCCAACCTCTCTTAAACAATAGGCCCAATGGGCCTCTATCACTCACCTGGCATTGAGTGTTTATCAAAAATACAATGGTATTAATATCACAAATATATTGTATATATATATATGGAGTCCATTGCCATTCAAAGTCCGCATATCCGATCATTTGTAACTTATTTTCACAACAAACAGTTTCTTATACTTAACTCTAAACGTGACAGTTATAACTTGGATTAAAGGTAAATGACATTTCCTCTTTTCTTGAAATTTGTTTGGCTTTGACCTAGAAACACTTTTTCAACAAATATTCTGCTTCTCAGACTACTGGTTTACAGATTTCTATAAATTTAACCCCTGTGACCTTCAACATGGGTCCTTGTCCCTTTTTTGGGCTCACATTGTTGGGTTTTATCATAGGAACCTATCTTCCAAAATACCATGCTTCTGTGCCTTTAGGTTAGACAAGAGAAGTTGTTTTAAGATTATAACAAATTTGACTCCTGTGACCATGAATAAGGGTCAACGCTATTTCTTTTTGCAACTTTTTTGGGCTTCATAGTATGAACCTGTCAGCCAAATACCATGTTTCCTTGTCTTTAGCTTGGTCAGAAGTTGTTTTGAGTTTGAGATTTTCACAAATTCAATTCCTGTGACCTAGAATAAGGGTCCGCATTTCTTTTTGCAAACATTGTCTGGGATCCTCCTAGGAACCTATCAGCCAAATGCCATGCTTCTGAGCAGTTTGGTCATTCAGAAGAAGTCGTTTTGAGGTTTTAAAAAATTTAACCTCTGTGCCCATCAATATAGGTCGAGGTCATTTCTTTTCACAAACGTTGTCAGACTTCATCCCAGCAACTAACCAGCCAAATACCATGACATTTGGTGTGTTGGTTATTGAGAAGTTGTTTAAATGGAAATGTTGACGCTGGGCAGACAATGGACAATGCGCCACAACATAAGCTTACTTGTGCCAGGTGAGCTTAAAACTACAAAACTTCACAATATGTTTCTTAATAGTTATATTGTTGTAAATTGTTTGTGTTATATACCAGACAGACTATACAATATCTATAAAGATATTTCATGCTGTCTTTGGTAAAACATGTAGTAAACATGATCTGTATTATTGAAGATAGATAATTATTGTCTCATGAAGTGCTGCCTAAAGTTTATACTGTCCCTACTTTTGCAGGGCTGATTAGCGTAATTAACATATTTTCTGCCCTTTACATAGCAAAAGCTTTGTCCATCAATCATATAACAGCTAAATCTTCTTCAAAACCAGAAAGATAGGTAATTGCATGAACTCTTTTATAGTGCATTCTTTAAGTAGTTGAATCATCAAATGATAACTAACACATGATATGAGAACTTCCCACTATCATATACATCCCCCTACTTAGTGTCCTGTCTCCGTTCACACTACTTCATCACGGTCAGGACTTAATGTCCAGCCTAATACCACTTCACACCTCATTGACCTTTCAGTCAATAGACTGCTAACAACAAAAACCACTTACAGCTTCTGAAGGCAAGAATGTCAAACCTATCTCTTATAAAAATTTACATATTTTTCTGGAAAACAAGGAAGTCCTAATTCTTTATCAATGAATTCAGAGTTGGATAATGTTATTCAAATCTAATTGATAATTTATATACTAAAAACCATTACTGGTAACATGCACAAACATCAATCTATTAATTCAACAACATGACAAAATTTCTAAAACTTCTAAAACATTAATCACTCAAAGGTAATACATTCAGTTTGTATTTATACAAACAACTTATTACTTGTTATTTAAATATCATTACTTAAGACACAGATTTACCTTAAAATTTCACCATGATCCATTGTTATTGGAGGTAAACTTTTGCATTCATTAATTACATTTCATGATCCTTATCCAGTCTTCTGTCTGCTTTCTTACAGTATGTATAGGCATATTTTTTTAACTATTTTCTTATAATGTTAACCAATATTTCAGTGTCACATAATTTGACGTTTCAGTGCCACTGGATCATTTGTTTACAATATATTTTATGATTGGACTTCATAATACACAAAAGAGAGATACTTGAGGCAAACTTACTTTGGCAAGCAGAAATAAAGTCTATAACTGACATAAATTCACAGTTCAGTTATGTCTTTTTTTAAAAGGCACATACAGATCATGAATGAAAAAGTTCTGAAATTTCCATTTGTCTGTCTGTACAAAATGGAAATATTTTGTGTCATGTGTGCCAGTATTCAACCTTCATGGCTCCATAAGCCACATCTTTCTGAATACGCACATAGCTAGGGCTTCCCATGTCAAGTTTTACCCTGTTATAACAATGGGCTTGAAGTTTGTGTGATCGATTGCAGGCTAAATTCTGTGATCAATTTTACAACAATTGAATTTCATCCAAAAAAGATAAGACGTAAGTCTTCCAATGTTGGCAATGAACAGGATTCCTGTGGGCTGTCTTTAGTGAGAGGGTCTACAGCTGAGAAAATGAAAGCACACACTGAATGTCTGCAGAGTGTTTGGGACATAAGAAAAGTAGCCCAGTCAATCACATCAGTGTCAATACTTTTATGCCACAGACAAGCCTCTGGCATTTTGAATTGAAAATTTTCATTTCATTAGAAATAATTCAAGGGAAGGTGAACAAAATGTTAACCCATTAGCTTGGTTTTTATTACAGTACATTTAATTATCTTAATGAAATAGGAAACAAGGACAATCTGGACTAAATGAGGATCACATAGGTCACGTGATTATCTCAGGTATAAGAATCATCCAGGGTACCGGATCATTCAAGGTATAAATGAGGTATCGATCAGGATCTCTCATAGTATCAACCAGAATAACCAGGGAAGAGCATCCACAGTATCTACAATTATTACCAGCAGTATTCAGCAGGGTCACTTCTCGTATAAACGAGGATCACCCAGGGTACAGGGTCATCTCGCATATAAGTGAAAATCACCCACGATCAACCAGGATCACCCAGGGTACAGGGTCATCTCGCATATAAGTGAGAATCACCCACAATCAACCACGATCACATAAAAATGGATCACCCAGGTTGTACTTGAGGAACATCAAACATATCTGCAACCAGGTTGAATTAGGTATCAACCAGGACTATCAGGATTATCACGCAAGATCACACAGGGTACAGGATAATCCTAGGGATGAACAAGGCATCACAAAAATATGAATACTCCAAAATTCGTACAAAATGCTTAGTGTAAAGGAAATTGTAAAGATATTTGGCCTTTTCATGAACCAGTTTGCCATTATTACATTATATCATAAAAGAGAATGCTGAGACTTTCAGTACAATTAACATGAACTAGAACTGTCTGCTGGATGGCTGACTATTACATCCCTCCTTACTTCCCAATCAACAATACTTAGGAGGGGTTGTCCGTACAAGAAGCCTTCATCTGGTCACCATGGCACCAAATGGAAATCTCTCTCTCTTTGTTTTTTTTTTTATCCAAAATGGTATCATTTTACTTTTCATCCCCCTAAACCTTAATCAGACAATATCTGAATTTTGACCAATCAGAAGCCTCCAAAGTGTTTCCATAGTAATGGCTTTGGTACATCTAATATATAAAAAATATAGACTATAATTAGCTGTATCACTTGATCAAGTTTAAACAAAATCAATCAAATGGCTAAGAGTTATGGCACTTAACATAAAAACTTGTGTAGAGTGAACTGGTTACCATGGCTAAAAGAAAAACCTGCATGTATATATGCATATCTATGTATCGTCCCTAACATCCCTGTGTAGTTTCATTGAAATCAGTACACAACATCAGCAGCAGTTTGGAAAAGATTGTCTCATCTTGTGCCTTCTGTGGTTACCATAGTAACCAAATGTCATTGGATATTTTTGAGAATGGTATCATTGTAATTGCCTGCCCTCAAAACCCTTATATTTCAATTTTAAGCTTAATCAGACAATATCTCAATTTCGACTAATCAGAAGCCTCTACCATGTTTCTATAGTAACCGTTTAGAAAGCACCTGATGAGTCAAAGTTACAGGCAGTGAAATGGTTACCATGACAACCCTGCTAAAACAAAAATGCATGCACATCTACACATGGTGGTCAACATCCCTGTGTAGT